TCTCAATTTAAGATAGAGGGTGATGGGAACTGAGCTAGCAATCCTTGCTCAAGAAAAGAATTTGGGGGCAGGCAGTGGACCACTCAGTGAAAATGGCCAAGCACTGCACTGCTGTGAAAAATGCATACTCCATGGTAGGGATAATTAGGAAAGGAACTGTAAATTTAAAAAGTTCAGGGAAGGGCCAAATGATCAAGGGGCTAGAGCAGCTCCACTATGAGGAGTGGCTACAACAACTGCAACTGTTCAGCTTAGAAAAAAGTGACATGATAGAAGTATTTAAAAGTATGCATGGTGTGCAAAAAGTGGAGAGGAAGACATTTTTCTCCTTCTCCCTTAATACCAGAACCCAGAGTCATCCCACAGAGCTGACTGGTGGGAGACTCAAGACAGATCAAAGGAAGGCTCTCTTCGCATAGCATGCTGTTCAGCTATGCAATTCACTGCCACGGGAAGTAGTAATAGCCACCCATTTGGGTGGCTTTAAAAGGGAGCTGGACAAATTCTTGGAGGAGGAGGCTATCTGTGGGCTACTAGCCTTGCTGGCTATGTGCCACCTCTGTGATTCCAGGTGGATGTCTGCATAGGAGTTTGTGCAGGCAGAGGTCTTTCCTCATCCTGCTTGAGGGGCCCTGTGTATGGCTGATGTGCCACTGGTCTGATCCAGCATGATTTTTCCTATAATTGTATGTTGTCTTTGATACTGGAGGCAGAGTACAACCCTCAGAACAAGTATCATTGAGAGCCTTCTCTTCCATGCATTTGTCCAGTGCCCTTTGAGGTTGTCCAGATTGGTGGCCATCCCTACATACTATATGGAAGAAGGACTTTGCACTCCTAAAATAAAAGAGAGCCGGAAGAACTGTGCTGGTTTAGATGAAAGCACTACCTAACGTGGGATTCTGTTTTCAGAGGCCCACAGGAAATCCACAAGCAGAAAAGCAGGGTAGAGGCAGTGGGTGTTTTGCCAGGCTATAAGAAATGGCTTGCATTGTTGTATCCCTGAATTCAAGGCTCTTGAGCCCAGGTTAGAGGTGTCCAGAGCAAAAAGGGAAATTTGAGGGTCATTTAATTCTGGTGTCACTGGGAGTCCCTTTCATGGCCATACCACTTCCAGTTTCCCTCAACCATTTGTCATTTGGTGGTTTCCAAGCAGTTTTTGTGCAGCTTTTCCTGATCCTAACATGGTTGAGAGGTTTAGGTACCAGCAGTGAGAGCTTGAGGTTGCAATATGTTAGGATTTAAGTAATCAATTAATTAATTTGTGTGTGTGTGTTTGACCTTACTCCTTTTGCTTTTGGCACTGCCCACTGTACAACTTCTCCGAAATGAAGTTTTGCATTGGCGCGAAAAGAAGTTCCCTGCCCTTGAAATAGGCTTTTTCTGGTGCTCTTTAGAACAAAGGGGCAGAAGTAGAGTAGAGATGATGTATGTTTTCCATCCATTGTATCACAAGAAGCTTTTCTCCCATGCTGTCTCTCCATCAGCACAACAGATCAGGGCTCTTTAACACAGTTCTTAACCTGTTTGAGTGGCTCTACAGCTCCAGTCTAAAGATTCAACACTTTGACTAGTAAATTCTGTTTCCCAGTCTCAGTTGCTACAGCTGCAAAATGGGAAAAAACAGATTAGAGATTGTAAAATAATAGATTAAGAGGTAAATAAAGCCAAGAGCATGTTTTTCTAGGGTGTGATGGTATTGTGAATGATTTACTCACTGGTGTCCCAGTAACTATTTTGGGTTTGCAAGTTCCCTCTATGCAAATTCATTGGAACCCAGTGCCAATGTAAGTGTACTTTTTGTGTGGATTGACATGGAAGGGACTTGGGAACCAATAACAGTTGTCATATCACTGAGTGAATCATTCACAAAACTAGCATGCCTGCCAAAATGCACACAACAATGTTTTAAAAATATTTCAGCGAATTGGTCCACTCTTGAATTTTGGTCAACTAAATAGCCAGTGTTTATTGACTGGGAACATGGTGGTCTATCCAAACAAGAGTAATATTAGGATCAAGGTTTACTTAAATGGGGTGCAATCCTATGCATGTTCAGGGAGAAAAAGGTCCTAGAAGTACCAGCATTTCCCAGCCGGGTGTGTTGGGCCTAACCATGTGGAGGAGGAGACCAAAACTTTGCTAAACCCCTGGAGGAAACCATATTCCTTTCCCATTCTTTCTGAATGGCTTCAGTGTGCTTGCAAACATGGGTCATGAAAAGATTATTTCTGGGAAGTTGTAATGACTATTGGCCAAAAGCAATAGAAGCTTATTGGTTGTGAGACAAAAAACTATCCACATTTGTGGACAACTGGAGACCTTTCTCCTTATACCGCAGTAGAATTAAGATGCACAAAAATCTGTTCTAGGATTTATTTGTCATTGTATTGTTTTCTTTAAAGTATTGTTTCTCTTCTCTGGTGTAACTGTGCATTTTATATTTATTTTTAAGATCATTAAATTGTTACTAAAATTTCTGTACTGACCATTAACTGAAACTCTCTGGGAGACTTACAGCATTTAAAATCATAAAATGCAATATGGCATAGGACAATATGAGACTTTTAAATATTCAAAAATACTTTTAAAAAAAGCAGTGTGGCAATTTCTCATCACAGTTTTAACCTTTAACAAGCAAAGAATGAAAATTTCTCAAAAAGTCATTTTAGCTTAATTTCTAAAATCTAATATTACTTAACAAGCAAAGAACTCAGATACCCCAAAAGAGTCATTTTAGCTTGATTTCAAAAAGCTAATATCACTTCCAGATACGTCAGTGCAGAAAATATTATCTTTAAGGTAGCTGTAAGTCTAATTTTGAAAAGTGCAATACTTTAGACATTGAGTAGCAGCTTTTGGATGGGAGGAAGCAGTCCTTGACATACTCTGGTCCCAGACTGTTTAGTTCATGTCCCTGGATGATGAATTGTTCATTATATCTCAGAGTTTGAGCCAAGAATAGCAACTGACGGGGCTGAAACAGAGCTGAAAAGTTGAAAGACTGGGAGAAGAAACAAGTTTCAGTTAATTCTTTTTCATAATAATACTTTGCTCAAAGTTGCTAAGTTCTTCATGTTTGCAAAGGGAAAAACTTGAGATTTCAAAGAAATCTGAATTTGAGGTTGATATTGCATTAGGATCATGACTTCTTTTTCTGACAGGTTCTTAATTTTAACAACAGCATGACAGGAAGGCACATAAATTTTAGTAAGAATGTCCTAACCTTTGTGAATTTCTTCATACGCTGAAAGAATGTGTAAAAAATGAGTGTGGTTGAAAGACTGACAGAGAGATTCATCCATCAGGCCAAAGGATGGTGATGGAGAAACCGCAGATAGTCTGCTTGGTGGCAGGGCCAAGCATTATTGGAGATACTTATCCAAAGTGTTTATGACTGACAAGGCCAACATCAAGGACAGGAACAGGTGGCTGTCTGCCAGGGCTCTTCATTGGGGCCCACTGCCAACAGCCCCTGGAGTGGTGGCAATGTCCCTGTGACCTCACGGGCCTGTGACTCAACGGACGTCAACCTGCAGAAGGGCCTTCAATGTAGCCCGCTTCCTTTGAAGTCCTTGCAGGCACCAACACCTCAGGTGCCATTTTCCCCCTGATATTTTGTTTTAATGCAGTGTTTTGTTCTTTTTATAGTTCACTGCTCTGGAAGCTGTTCAGATGCAGAATGATGTCTAGGTATTGCTCATAAATAGGCAAAGCTGTGCATGAATATAATCTCCTATCCCTTGCTTCAGCCCATGATGGGTGACCATGGTGGTAAGAAGGCAGGCTTGCCTGAGAAGGGGCCCCACTGAGGGTGTCCTGCGCAGGAGCTCTCCAGAACCTGAAGCCAGCATTGTGTGCTAAGCCAAGTCAGGAGAAGCCAATGGGCCAGGGAAGGCTGGGTGGCCAGGAACACCACGTTGCCGACAAATGGCAATACTGACCCTTTCCCCACTTCACATCTCTTGTGCAGACTCGACTAGCTTCCTGGAAGGGCCACCAGCTTCCTGCTCAAGCTCCTGACAACACTGTACAGCTGGGCTGGCCCTGCTTTTACGCAAAGTGAGATGGCAGGAAATGGGGGAGCAGGAGGTGGTGCTGAGGACTGGGGGTTTTGCTGCGTGCGCCAAGCAGCTGCTCCTGCCCCTTGAGTGAGCCTGCTGCATTGGCTGTGGCGAAAGATTATATTGCGGTAGTTACACAGAGAATATCTTGGCAAAGGGCGCTAAGTGCCAAAAGGATCCAGGGCTCTGGCCTACAGGAAAGGATATTTGCACATGCCCTGAAGCCTCTCTCCCCCTCACTCTCACTCTGTGCCTGTGTCTCCTGACAACCTTCCTATTTGCAAATAAGGATGTAGGGACAGGGGAGAGGAGGGCTGTTGGACTCCAGAAAAAAAAACCTCAGGCAGAAAGATTGAAGGGGCCAGCAGGAGGGGAAGCACGTCTGGGCCAAAAGCCAGCTACTCCCAGGCAGGGGTGCCAGGTGCTCCCATACTCTCATTTTATCAAGCGCCTCTGCTTAGCAGCATGGCAGGTTGGGCAGCTTCCCCGAGGCGACTGTTGGGCTTCACCACTGAGCTGTTTCTGTCTCAGCTTTTGGAAACACTGTGGCCAAGTAATGATTCCTGTGCCTTAGTGAACACTATGCAATTAATCAAGGGCTTCTTGTGTTGTGCGTGTGTATTGTATGAGAAGGAAGCAAAGTAGGCAAGAGTTCACTGTGCTGCAGCCAGAGAGGACTTTGCACCTGTGGACTCAGCACCCACCTCACATCAGAAAGGAGTGGGTGGGCAGGCAGTTATTTAGATAATGGTTACCCAATTTCTCCCAGTAATGACTGCCTCTCCATCCTCCTTGCCCCGCTGGAGAACTGGAGGAAGGGAGGGATTTAGAGGGCTATTTTTGCTCTGTCAGGGTTTAAAAGTTGCCACATAGCAGAAAGGCATTTCTACTGCACGGAGGTGTTTATGACAGAAGGGAAAGAAAGTGTCCCCCTCCCAACACGCCCTACCACAAAGGATCGCTTGGAGCTGAAGACCAGTTGGAACGGAGGGCTACACTGCTAGTGTGCACTGGGGTGAGTGAGCTGGTGATTGTTCTTCTCCTCCCCCTGTCTCTCTCCTTTACTTCAGCCCCATGCGCATCAAGCAAGCAAGCAAGCAAGCAAGCAAGCAAGCAAGCAAGCAAGCAAGCAAGCAGGGGGAGTGCTTGGCACAGAAAAGATCTGGGGCTCCCAGACAGAAAAAGGACACACATTTGCATATGTTAATACTGTCTGCTCTGTGCTTGTTTGTCTTCAAAGGTCCTTGTCTCCAGAGGACCCCTATTTGTAAAAAGGGATGAATGTATGAGGGAGAGGAGGGTATTTGACTTCAGAAAAAAAGCTCAGGCAGCTGGCAGAGAAGTATATAAGGGCAAGAAGCTGGTTAATCAGGGGTGGGGGAGAATTAGATGCAACTGAGATCTCTGGGTGCTTTTATTTCAGCAAGTGCACATAGACAACAGAGTGGGGCCCCAGGGATTTGGGGGTCTGGGGTGCAGAGGGATACGCCTACTAATCAGAGAATTCTTGAACAAGCCAACAAACCATTTAGCGCTCGGGAAATCTCATTTGGATTAGATGTGCTAAGTGTGTGGCTGTGTGTGTGCACTTCAATTATATTTCTCAGAGCCTAGAATGTCTTTCAGAGCAGCTGTCAGATATGAAATTTTTCACTTCATGCATTGGTGTGACTGGAAAAAGGTTGGAACAAGGGTTGGAAAATGGAATAATATGCATTTAATGCCAAGAACTGATGACACTATCATTACTGACCTTCCTGAAATAAAATAATTTCAAAGCTGCTTTACAGAAATCACACTCAGAAACATGAAATAAGCATTACAAATGTGGGCAGGTATGTCTGCATGTTCATGGCATGATCAATGTTTGTGACAATTTCTTTTGAGGGAGGTGGAAGCAAGAGTAGACCATTCTGATTTGAGGAGCATGCCGTTTCAGTAGTGATTTGAGCATGTTCAGAGTGCATTCTCAGTTGGGTTCAGGCAACATGGTAACCCAAAGTCAAGAATTGAGTGTAGGTTGTTGAACTATGAATTATATTGTTGTCCGAATCTAGCTGCACTATCATAACAAGCCATGGCTTGTTGAACATGAATAAGAACCCGGGATTTGTTGTTGGATGGTGAACTGAGAATTCTCCATGCTTGTTGGCAGGTTATAATGACTTGGTTGAGACAACATGGTAACCCAAACTCAAGAGCTCAGAATGAGTTGATTGTGGGTTGTCACTGAAATCTGGGTAATCTGAATGCAGCCACACTAACTAGTCATGGCAAGTTAACTGAAGACAAACCATGAAGAGAACCCATGGCTTGTTGCAGGGTTGCAGACTGTGGCTTATTCACCAAAGTGTGTTACTTTGGCTGGGTTCAGACCACATGTTAAGGACAACCATCCCTCAGCCCATACGTGAGTTTTATCTTATATTCTGGACCCAGTCAAAGAGTCATACAAGGTGTATCTACAGGATAAAACTGCGACCTGATGGAGCACAATATACATGACAATGCACCTTAGCTGCCTCAAAAGTGCAATTGCAATAGCTGCCTGGCATTGTGGGAGAACCCTGGGCCATGTAGCCCATTTTTGTCTGAAGCAGCAATGGTCAGCATTCCCCAGGGTTTTGGAGAAGGGTCAACCAGGCCCCACCAGGAGATGCCAGCGATTAAACTGGCATGGGGGGTGGTCTGCATATAAAGTCTGACCCCTGCCTCTGAGCTTGTGGCTCTTCTACAAGTAAAGTTTAGGTTGCAGTCCTCATGGTTTTGAAGGAAGTTCATCTAAGTAGGAAAATAGAAGGTTGCCTTGTACTGTGTCAGAGCCTTGGTCCATAAGCACCTCTTCTGGGTTTCAGAGAGGGGTCTTTTCTCACTGCTCTACCTGGAGGTGGTGGGGGTGAAACTTTGTGGGACTTGTGCATTCAAAGCAGGGACTTCTCTGCTGATCTCAGGTGTCTGGGATACATCGTGTCTGGGATACATCGCTCACATTTGTTGAATTTGCTTATCTGTGATCATTATTGGTATATATTATATGTGTGTGTGTGTGTGTGTGTGTGGAGAAAGAGAAAGAGAGACAGATAGACAGACACAGACAGAGAGTGTTTTTTATTTGTTTACACTGAGGCCTTTGGTCAATCCAAATGCATAAACTGAACATTTTGGCAGCCCTTTCCTTCTAATCTGTTCAGTATTTCAAAATGTAAGACCTTCTCCCACTGAAAAAAGCACAATATAAATCTTTATAAACAAATTTATAAAGCTTATAAACAAGAGGGAGTTGCTTAAAAGGTGCTTCCAGTGGCAATCTTCTACCCACTTACTCAGGAGGAATTCCACAGAACACAGTTGGGCTTCTGAGTAGAAGTGGGGTTGGGCAGCATGTATTTCAGCTGTGATCCTGTACCTGCATTCAGCTCCATGGAGCTCAATGAATCTTAGTTCTGAGTAGATCGCACTGTAGGACTGCATTGCAAGTGTTGACCAGGATGGGAGTTATAAGTCTCAGTTGTGCAACAAAAAGGATATGTGTATAAAGAAAGGTAATAAAGGGAGAGAAACCAGGATCGTGTATCCTACTCATGATGTGTTCACTCTCGTACATAACAAACTAATAGGTACCAAAAAGGATTATCGCTAATGGTGGTTCGTCCTTTTTTGGCTGAAAATTGGTAAACAAAGGAAGAAGGAATATTAATTATGTAGTGTCTTGTGGGGAAGTGAAAAGAAAGAGAAGAAAACTGATAGGAATAGGGATAAAAACATTCCAAGCAAAGGCAGACCTTTTGCCAACTGATAAGGATGTCAAGAAGACAAGACAGTGACTGGGTTTGGGCAACACGATAACCCCTACGGAAGGGATGGCTATAAGCTGAGTGTGGGTTCCTGCTGAAAGGTGGAGTTGTCTGCTCTTGAACCCACCAAGATCTGTTAACCGCAAGCATCCCAAAATTCACAGTCCAGAACAAACCACAGGTTCTCTTCATAGGTCATGTATGGGTAATGCAGCATGCCTTCGTTAGAACAGCTGGGTTCAGACAATGAGATAATCCACCTTTCCACAACAACCCATGGTTCAACGCCGCTCGCATTCAAGCCATGCTAACCCTCTGAGGGTGCTTTATTGTGCTGTCTGTCTTGTGGTTGTGACTTTGCAGTGAAGAAAATGTCTGTGCGGCTGATAAACACTTTATTGTTGTTTAGCAAAGTTGTGTCCAACCTATCGCGACCCCATTGGCAACATTCCTCCAGGCCTTCCTGTCCTCCACCATCTCCCAGAGTCCACTTAAGCTCACACCGACTGCTTCAGTGACTCCATCCAGCCACCTCATCCTCTGCCATCCCCTTCTTCTTTTGCTGACAATTTTTCCCAGCATTTCAATTGTTCCCAGCATTGTCCCCTTCATGGATCACTGCCTTTTTGTGGTGAAGGGGCTTGTGTAGTGCAAAGAAGCTATGAGCTACGCTGTGCAGGAGCACCCAAGATGGGCAGGCCATAGCAGAGGGCTCTGATAAAAGGTGATCTACCGGAGAAGGAAATGGCAACCCACTCCAGTATCCTTGCCACAAAAATCCCATGGACAAAATCATAAATATAAACATTTTAACATGCTGATTCTTTAAAAAAATAATTTATCAAACCATTGCTTGCTGTGGGGCTGGGTTGTGGTTGGCAGCTATAAAAAGGAGAAGCTAGAAAAGAAAAAGGAGGAGGGAGAATGGCAGCATGATGCCAAAACAGGCAAACCTGCCAGGCTTTTGTGGCTATTCCTCTGTGATGAGACATGTGGGGCCACTGCCCTGGTCATTGCTGGAGTGTTGCAAACATTTCTTTGGATGGCTTTGAGGGGCCTGTTTCTTTAACCTCTGGGAACTGTTGCAGATGCATTGCATTCCAGCAGCTCCTGCTAGAATAAGCCAACCCTGAAGCTCCCATACAGCTCTCCACAGGCTTGTCAGCTCTACAAGGATTCCTGTACTGCATTGCATGTGTGGTGGTGAAGCCTCATAACCAGTGGGTGATGTGACGGCACAGAATGTTCATGAACATTTCAACTGCTCACTGAACAGAGGTGCTTGGAAAGAAGATGGAGTCGGCCTTTTGGCTAGGGTAGCAGCGTCCCTAACATTTGGGGGAGGGCTGAGATTCCATGTGTTAGGGAATCTAAGTAAAGGGTTGGGGAGTTCAGGGGCAAAGACTAGGTTCAGATAGGATGGTTTTCCAAAATAAAACCATGGTGATTAACCCACAGTTCACAACCCACCAGTAAATGGTGGGTTCTTTTCATGGGTTGCTTGTGGTTAACATGGCTGGGTTCAAACGTGACAAGCCACATTTCAACAACAAGCCATGGTTCAATGATGACCCACATTCAACTCATATTCAACTGCAGAGTTAGGTTATTATGTTGTCTGAACTGACAAAGAACAAATGTGGAACAGGTACATGGGGGAAGAGAAGAAAATTAGAGAAAGAGGAAGGGAAACTGGGAAATAATTTCATCAATTGAGTTGAATTACCTAGTTATTTTTCATGTTTTGGCTGTGGACTGCTAGTTCTGCCAGAAAGCTGTGTGAAATGTATCCAGATTTTGCAGGGATGACATCCCCCACGCAAGGGAACAAATGTACCAACTCTTCCATCTGGACTGGCATAGCTGTCACAAATAAAACCAGACAAATGAAGGGCCTGCACGCGTCCTCCATTTGAGCTGAGACCTGCTGGGGTTGGATCTGGTACCAGTGACTTGCATCTCCTGTAAGTGTGAGCCACGCATGCATTGAGCTAGGGTCAAGCAGTGTTCAGGAAGAGAAAGAGGACCAGCTTGGTACCAAGGTGGGTCAGTGTCATTATTTCACAGATGGTGCTGAATTCCACTTGGTAATTTGGTAGGTGGGTGGCACTTAACATTGACAATCTGGTGGTGCAATGATGCATAACCAGACCTAGAACTCCTGGGACCCTGTGAGTTTTGGTAGGGGCCCATATGCTGTCTTGATGTTGCAGGACTATGTTGTTAAGGAAGCCTTCCAGAGCTGGAATCCAAAGGCTGTAGGCAGAGCAGCTTGTCTGCATGCAAAAGATCCAGCTTCAATCTCCAGCATTCCCAAATGGGGCTGCGAGGAAAAGAACCCTGGACAGTCGCTGTCTGTCAGATAAGATTGGACTAGGTGGACCAAGCCCCTGACTCAATATAAAGCAACTTCCTGTGTCCTTACTTAAATCGTCCCATTATTCAGAAGCATGAGGACTGGAATCTTAACTATTTGTAGGGGAAGGACCAGAGGCTCAGTCGCTGAGCACATACTTTACGCGCAGAAAGCCAACTGCTTAATTCTTGGTATCTGCAAGTAGGGCTGGGAAAGGCCTCTGTCTAAGGCCCCAGAGACCTCTGCCAGTTAGTGCAGTCCACAATGGCCATGCTGACTGGGGATGATGGGAACTGAAGTCCAGAATGTCCTGGATGTGTGTGTCAGGTTCAGGAAGGCTGGTGTACTATAGATATTCTTGGATCAGATGGGCAACATCTTGCCAGTGGGCATCCCAGAATCAGGACACGCTTCTGCCCTCATTTCCTAGGACAAGTGCAGGTGGCGCTAGCAACTGTTAGTAGCCTTCAGCTCCGTGGCTTTTCCCAAGCCCTGTTGAAGCTATCCAAATGGCTGACTGTCGCTACATCTTGCTGAAGTGATTTCCACAGATTAATTGTGCCTTGTGCAAAAAGGCACAATTTCTTCCATTGGTCTGTCCTGAATCTCCCCCGGGGCAAAAGAGAGAGCAGCATCTCCATCTCTGCTGGTGTCAGCATCCCTGCTGCAAGAAGAAGCACCCTGGCAGTCGATCTAGCAGTGCTGCAGAAAAGCACTGCGAAGACATCCTGCCATAGCTGGACCCTTTCACCAGGCTACTCATCTCTTACAGGTATGACCTCTGCTGACCTTGACAGCATGGAACTTCTGGACCTCTTGTTTGACCAGCAGGACGGTGTCCTTCGCAATGTGGAGTTTGGACCCTCCGTGGCAAATTGGCTGGAACCGGAAGACAGTGTGAGGCATCGTGTCTGTCGGGAGATGAGGGGAGGAGGGGGAGAGGAGGAGCAGGAGGCATTGGCTTTTGGTGGGATGGAATAGGGTGGGAGTGCCAAGATTTTCTGCAGAAGCAAGAATAGTTTTCCTTGCACCCCGAGAGCAAGGTGAATTTAAAGCAGAGATGGGCAAAGGCGTGGTACTAGGTACCAAAAGGGTTTAGGACTCAGGGCCAAAAAGCGGCAGCACATATTTGCATATGCTCCACATTTGCTTGCTTGTGTGCATAAGAATGTAAGAAAAGCCATGCCAGATCAGACCGAGGGCCCATCCAGTCCAGAATGTCACTTGCTTGCTCTGCTTTTACATGTGTCTTTTTTCTGTATTTTATAGCACTTGCTCAGTACCAAAGAGAACGAGGATTTCATCAGCTCCATCCTGGGTTCTTCAGATGCTGTCCTTGACTCCCCAGCCTGGTCTCCGGCTGCCAGTGACAGTGGAATATCCGAGGACCGAAATTCTGACCAGCTGGACAGCCCTCCGCACTATGTGCCGACGGGCAGCCCGGAAGCCTACTCAGACGGTGGCTCACACAGCGATCTGGCTTATCCCCCGTGCCAGGACTCCTGCCAAGCCATGCCTGTTTTGAAGGCACCCGCTGCCGAACTGAGGGAGGCCGAGGTGGCTATAGACTTCCGTAAGTTCTCTGTCTCTGCCTCACTGCAGGAGAAACCAGATTTACAAAGGACAATGATAAATGAAGCAGGGCAGTTCCAGGCACTCCAAAGATCCAGGGCTCATGCTCTCCTCTCTGGGAGGAAAAAAAGCATGCATTTCCACCTGATAATTTGCAAATGCCTGAAGCCTGTGTCTCTGTGTATGATTAACCCTGCCCGCTGGGACATCTGCTGCTGTCACATGGGAAGGACAAGCGAGAGAAGGGCATTTGATGAAATACAACCCCAAAAGTCAGATCAGTCCAAGGAAGGGAGCAATGGGAGGGGCAGTAAATATGAGCCAAAAGGTAGCTCGAGGGTTAGCAGGGCAGATGGCCTCCCAGAGACTTGGGCTGCAAAGGGCACTGAAGCAGAGTGTTTTGGGCACAGTTCAGCCCTGTTGGAAGGGCTTGTGTCATCAAGCTGCACTAAGTGCTGCGTGCCAGCCCTGCAAGAAAAGGTCTGGGTAGGCCGCTAGTTCAGGGACTGGCTCTCTCTGTGACAGTTCTGCATTTCCGGGGTGCCTCCCTCGGGAAGCTTGCCTGGCTCCAACATGGCCACCTTTTGGGCAAAGGGGCATTTACTTTCCTGGGCATTTGTACTCTGCACTGAATCAAATGCTACAGGCTGTAGCTTTGGTTCGATGATGCTCACCCTAGGCTGGAAGGGACAAAGGAGAGATTTGTGTATTGTGGCACTTTTTGTGTGGTGTTCTCACTCTGACAATGTTGTTAGGCTGCTTATTTTCATGTCTGTTTCTGTGCTGTTTATACTTTGCATTTGGTTTTGGGTTTTTTGTTATATTAATTGTAAATTTCTCTGTTTAAGTCACTTCTAGACTGTTTTTTGCAGTGTGAAGTGAGATAAACTATTATTGTTGTTGCTATTACCCTCTGTAAGCTGCCCAGAGAATTTTTTAGTAATTGGGATGACATTAAAAAACCTTAAATAAAAATAAATAAAATATTATTATTAACTGGATTTTCTCAGATAGCCTTCTCCAACCTGGTACCTACTGGATATATTGAACTACAAAGCCTGGCAAACACAGGAGGCAATGGGACTTGCAATCTACCTTTGGTGTAGCTCATACACTGCAAGCTTGGCGGTTCCTGGTTCAGTCCCTGGTGACTCTAGTTAAAAGGATTTAGTAGTGGGTGGCAGAGAAAACAGACTAATCCCTTCAACTGTCAGTCAGAATAGAGAACACTGAGCAAGATGGAGCAAAGATTTGACACGGTATAAGGGGAATTCCTATTTAAATTCCTCTAGTCAGAATGTTGAGGACTGGCAAGTTTCATATGAAGGGAACAACCAGATCCAACTGGTAGAATACATGGGTTGCCTGCAGAAAGTCCAAGCTTCAGTCCTGAGCAAGCTCCAGTGAGAAGAGTCTGGTAGCAATAATCCAGCATGCCCAGAAGGTCATTCCCAAGCTCCCAGCCTGCATGTTTGAATGTGCTTGCAGCTCTGAGGGCTTTGGGCCCTGCCCAGCAATTTTCCTCTCTCCTATCTTTGCAGATATGTGGGATTCAGAATTTTACTCTGAGGAGGGGCAACAGTTAGCCACCAGCCATGTGGCTTCACCCTCCTGCACTCTGACAATAAAGGACCTTCTTCTGTCTAACAACAGTGAGATGGTAAGCATATCCATATAATGAAAGAGTCTTTCAGGCTCTGGGAACCTCTGTTGTTTCTTGGGCTCCCCCTGAAGGAATGCAGGGCACACCTCTCCCCCAGGGATGCCAATCCCCTTTCAGCCTGAAAGCCAGCCTCCCATTTGGAGACACCCAAGTGCCCGCTTCCCACGGCACATGGTGCAAAAGGGCAGGGCCAAAACATCCTGAGAGCCAGCATGCCATGGCCAGAGGCTCTTGCCACCTGCACTGAGCTTTAGGAGAAGCAGCTCAGGCTTTGGGAATGGGAAAAGAACTGCCCAAAGCAGGGAAACCACACCATGTTGGTGGTTGGGGAAGTGGAGTGGGGACAGAGGAAGGGGGCATGGCCCTTCGGGGACCCCCAGCAGGCTGGGCTTGCCTGCTTCAGCCCCAGGTTTTTAGGCTTCTGAGAAGCCCTCTGCTGACTTGCTTTGCTGACTTGCAGAAGAGGGGAAGCTGTCCCCTTCCAGGCTAGGAAATGCTCTCCTTGTTTTGTCCGTAGCAGCAGCAGCAGGCCATGAACCCATCCCTGGCCCGGCAAGGTCCTGCGACTTGCCAGGAGCTGATCCTGACAGAGGATGAGAAGAAGCTGCTGGCCAAGGAAGGGGTGGCATTGCCCACCCAACTGCCCCTCACCAAGGTAAGGGGAATGCCGGCTCGTGCTGGACTGAAGGAAGGTGATGGAACCAGTGAGGACGGCTTGGTTCCCTCGAACCTCTCCAAGTGGCTGCTCTTCCCAGAGTGTTTATCTGTAATGCTTTTAGACCACTTTGGACCCCATCCTGTGCCATCCCAGTATGACCAGGGTTCCCAAGGATCGGCTGGACCTTGGAGCAATCCATTGAGATTGGAACTGGGAATTGGATCTCAGGTGTCCCTCCCTGTGCCCTCACAGCCAGTGCGGAAGGAAGGAGACACAGCTCAAAGTCTCCAGACACTCCCCAGTGAAGCTGGTCTCACAGCTGGGGAGCTTCAGGCCTGGTGCCATCCCAACAACACAACGCCAACAACATGATGACTCACAGTCAGGGGTTGGGTATGGGTTCCATGTAGGTTGTTGCTGAACCAGGAGATGTTGCTGAAATCTGGGTTGTTACGTTGTCTGAAATCAGCTGAGATAACAAACTATGGTAAGCTACCCAGAGTCCACAGTCCATAATCCTACAACAATCCATCAGTTCTCTTCATGGGTTGTTCAGGTTTAGCAACCGATGGCTTGTTAGAATTCTGAGTTCAGACATTTCAACAACCCACACTCAATGGCCGAATGTTGTTTGAACCCAGCTAGCTACTCATGCCTTGCAGCTGCTTGGTAATTCTCACAAAAGGGAGGCAGTCTTCCTTTTAAGAAATCCTGGCTGCCAACTTGAGCCTGGTAACGTGAGGACCAGAGCTCAGTGGCTAAGCGGTTTCCTTTGCACCCTCCCCCAGTATGAGGAAAGGATGCTGAAGAAGATCCGCAGGAAGATCCGCAACAAGCAATCCGCACAGGAAAGTCGGAAGAAGAAGAAGGAATATATCGATGGGCTGGAGAGCCGGTAAGCTGTAAGGGCAGGACTGCAGGCCCATGGATCCCTCTGGAGCTCAGAAACAACCTTTCTTCCAGCCACCCGTGATTTGCCCAGTATTTTAAAGTTTAAATATTTTAATTATGTTTTTATTGCTGTTGTGGGATGATGATGATCTTATTCTGTTATAGTTATTGTAAGCTGTCCGGAGACATGCAGTAATTGGATGGGTTAGAAATACCCAAATAACAAACAAACCCTGTTTTGTCCGGGGTGCTGGGCCACAATTATTGACCAAGTCCTCTGAGAGTGGGAAAGGCCCAGTCCACATGCCTTTTTGAAACCCTCCCAGTATATTAAAGAATGAAGTGTAAAAATAGGATTACAGAAATTATTATATTTTACATGTTTGCATTTAACTAATGCTTTCAGCACAAAAAGATACAGTGCAATAATTTATTGGGCCAGCAACTCTCCTTCCCATTATAGGACCAGTTCACAGGGCCTTCAAAACCTTTCTTCTGAAGATGTTCTCTGCACTGAAAGTCACCTTCCTGCCCCTGTCGGCCCACAAGGCAGCAGAGAGAGCTTTATGGAGGGACAGATGCATGTTGGGGTTGGTTCTTGGGTGACTGTGATCCGGTCACTGCCTCTCAGGCTGAACTACCTCACAGGGCTGTTGTGGGGAGGATAGAAAAGGAGAAGAGGACTGCTCAAGTCACCTTACATTCCTTGCATGAGGAGAAATATAAATGCAACACTATAAAATAATGAGAGCAACAACAATAAAAATATTAATGTATTGAGCTTCAAGAGTTCAGCTCTTTTGCTAATTTTGTCAGTGGGCGGAACTTAAAAGGCTGAGCTGGTTGCATGTGATGTGGTCCTGCCCCTCTTGATCTTCTGTTGGTTTTGTGTCTTTAGGATGTCTGCCTGCACAGCCCAGAACCAAGAGTTGCAAAGGAAAGTGGTTCACCTGGAGAAGCAGAACTTGTAAGTCATGGCCTGCTTGCAGATTTTTTGTTTTGTTTTGGCAAGCAAGTTGGTTGGGGAGGCACTGCAGGGGCAAAAGGCCTCTGGGCCCAAGCCCTTCAGTCAGCAAGAACTGGACATTGAAATGGAAATGCTGCAAGTGAGTGGAAAGTGATACATTTTGGGACCAAAAAGCGAAATAAAGCCCAGCCTCCCAAATATGCTGATGGGATCGGAGCCAAGATAGCTGGCTGAGGAAAAGATCTGGGAGCTGCAATGGACAGCTCATCATTCTCTTTCATGGCTGCTGTGGAAGAGGCAAGTTCTGAGTTGAAGTTCACTAGAAAAAAATGGGAAATGAGAACAGTAGGAGCCCACTGCTCTTACGAAAATCTATCATGGAACCACCACTTGGAATGGTGTGTGCAGCAGGGGTTACCACACCTAAAATAGGTGATTGTGGAGCAGGAAAAGTGCTGAGAAAGACCACTCAAATGTTGGAGCGACTCTGCTGTGAGAAAAGGTGACACTTTCCAGCATGGTTAGCTTAGACATGTGAGAGGTGCACAGAATTGTGTCTGGAGTGCAGAAAGCAGAGGGGGATACATTATCCTTCCTCTGGTGACAGGAAGACCTAGAGCTCTGCTTGTTTTCAGGTCGCTCCTGCAGCAGCTGAAGAAGCTTCAGGCCTTGGTGTTGCAGTCCAGCAGCAAGGCAGCACAAACTGGCACGTGTGTTGCGGTATGTCAGGGGAGTGGGGGACAGGAAGGGGAGACGCCATCTTCTCCAGCCAACTCTCTTTTCATGGCAGATTTCAGATGAGAAAGGGTGCAATGCAAATTAGATCCTGCAAACCCAGTGTCTTGTCTGGGGTGGGGGGGGGGAGTTACATACCCCAAGGAGGCACGGGTGAGGTCAATGGTGTTGCACAAGCACGCACACACACCCCATCTCCCAGGGAACAGCATTCAGACGCAGCCATCCCTGTGCGGCGTTCTAGCTGTCATTCGTTTATTTAGGGTGCAGCTTGTGGAGAAGGAAACATTTTTTCTCCTTCTCCGGTAAGACGAAACCCCAAAGACCTCATCCCATGAAGCTGATTGGTGGGGGGTTTAGAACAGATCAAAGGAAGTACTTCACATGGTGTGTGAGACACAATGGGATTCACTGGCAAGTAGTGGAGGCTTCAAGGAGGACTGGACAAATGCAGTAAGAGAAAGCCATAAATGCCTGTTAGGAATCACTCTGTCCTTCGAGTAGGATGCCTGCGTGCAGCAGTGGCTTAGGAGCTCTTGCACTGATCTTGCTGAAGGGATCCTGTGGGCAGCCGGTTTGCCACTGCGAGTCCAGCGCTGGACCTTGGCTCTGACTCAGCAGGGCTTGTTTCCCCACTCAGAGCGTTTAAACAGAAATAAGTACCCAGCCGGCATAAAAATGTCCTACCACACCCAGCAGCCCCCAACACACCAATCAGCACAGGGCTATAGGATGTTTTCCCTGTCTACACCTGCACAGGATTGAGTCCTCGCAGTATTTTTATTCTGCTTCCCAGCCACCCCCTCAAAAAAAACCCTCTTCCAGAACACCTTAGAGTGGGTCAATGAAAGCCACCCTCCCTGCCTGCAGGTTTGCAGTCTTAAGATGCTGGTGGACAGAGGAGCCAAGGAAAATGGGGTGGGGGAGGAGGAGAAGCCCACCTTCAGCAGGGCTGGTGGAATGGCCCTGCTTCCCCATTCATTTCTCGGGGGTGGGATGTCTTGCCAAACCAACCGAGGCTGGTTCCAAGGGTGGGAGTAGGCCCCAAAAGGCTCTGCATGTTCCCCTCATAATAAACTTACCAGTCCTCAACATTCTGACTTTGTTGTTGTTGTTGTTAGTCATGAGGTCATGTTCGACCCATCGCGACCCCATGGACAACACTCCTCCAGGCCTTCCTGTCATCCACCATCCCCTGGAGTCCACCTAAGCTCACCCCAACTGCCTCAGTGGCTCCATCCAGCCACCTCATCCTCTGCCATCCCCTCCTTTTGCCATCTATTGTTCCCAGCATTAGGCTCTTCTCCAGGGAGTCCTTCCTTCTCATTAGGTGGCCAAAGTGTTTCAGTTTCACCTTCCGGGTCTGGCCTTTAAAGAGCAGTCAGGGTTGATCTCCTCTAGGACTGACTGGTTGATCGCCTTGTGGTCCAAGGGACTCGCAGGCATCTCCTCCAGCAACATGCTGACTACAGGAACTTAAGGAAGGAACTTAAATAGGGCCCAGGCCTGCCCCCAATTTGCACATGCCCTGAAGTCTCTCTCTTTCTCTGTGTGTCTCTCTGTCTGATCTTGTCTCCTCCTGATCTTGTCAGTATTTGTAAAAAGGGATGGATGGAAAGGGGAGAGGAGGGCATCTGATTTCTGGGTGTGGGGCGGGGGGAGCCTCACGTAGAAAGATTGGAGAGGGGGCAGCAGGAGGGGAAGCACTGTGGGCCAAAAGCCAGCCAGTCTAGGAGGGGCAGACGCTACAGAGATGTCTAGATACCTTGACTTCACTCAGTCGTCCCCCGCCCCCCCCCGCCGTGGGATGGCCACTAATTCTGCCTGAAGCCAGCCCTTGTGTGCTCTCTGCCTTCTCCTGCTCCAGCAGGGGCAGTAGTGATTGAAGAACACTCTTCCTACTCTCCCAGAGATTTGTCTAAGCCCAGCTTCCGGTCAGCCTTCAGCTTGGGCCGCTGGACACAAGGGAAATGCCCGATTCCATTTCTTCCCTGCTGTGCAGGTCCTGCTGCTCTCCTTTGCACTGATCATCTTCCCTACCATCAGCCCTTTTGCCCACGACAAAGCGAAGATGGAAAGTGACTTTGCACCTGTGAGGGGTAAGCAAGCGCACCGACCGATGTGCAGGCAGAGCAGGCACCAAGTGGCTTTGGTGTGCCTTGGGTATACTTGGGTGCACCTCCTGAAAAACTGTTGTTATTGGAGTTTTTCTGTCCCATCCTATGCATATGTCTCAGGACAGTGACACAAAACTGTATAGGGACAGCAAACAAAAATATAATAGAAATATCCCACAGATATCCAAAATAGCCAGCTATCTTGCAGAAAAAGCTGGTCATTGACCACGCTGAACAGTCAGTGCCCCAAATATATCATCTCATGGCTGCCAAGGTCCTGCTGCACTCCTGGAGGATGAAGGTCCTTTTGGAGGAGGGCCCGGTGACTTCACAGGTCTCCACAATACTGGCTCATGAGCAGAGCCGACAACACAAATGGAACCTCCCACCCTCCAAGCCAGTGGCAGTGCTGGTCTCTGTTTGTTAGAGTTATAGCCCACCCTTTTCTTATGAAGAGCTCCAAGTAGCTTCCATCATTCTCCTCCTGTTCACAACCTTATCACCACAACAGGCACCCTGATGGGCTGAGAGTCTGTGACAGGCTCAAAGTCACCTGGTCGGCTCCATGCCTGAGAGGGGACCAGAACCCGGATTGCCTGAGTTCCAGACCTGTGCTCTTCACCAGTGCGCCACGCTGGTTTCACCCTCCAAGGGCTGGACATGAAGCGGGATCACTGTCCCTGCCCAGTGACTTTTGCCCAACCCCACTAAATCAAGACAGCCTAGATTCCTAGCACTATGCATTATGGGCAAGTTCAGCTCTTGGACTTCATGTAGGCATGATCAAAGCAGTGCTGGCAACCAGCTTGTGAGAAATCGCAGGTTAGAAAGGTGTTCCCTGAGCAAAGGATGGCCCTTTGAGGCAGAACTTCTTGCTCCAAGCACTTATGAAATCTTTTTCTTGGGTTTTGGCCCTGTCTGCCCAGCAGTGGGATGGGTCCCCAGAGAGCCGCTCTGGAAAGGAGACGGGGTAGGACATCTCTGCTGTGGGTCACATGCAGGATTTCTGGCACTCACAGTGCCAAGCCTGGCCAGCTGCTAATGTTGCCCATGCCTCGTGTGCCCCCGTCCCCCAGTTTTTTCCAGGTCCTTGCACAATGATGCTTCGTCCAGGATTGCCTATTCCCTGGCGAGGGATGCAAAACCCAGGGCTGAGGAAGCAGAGAAGCCCCTGTGGGCTGAATACGCCCATGAGGGGCACGGCGAGCAGGACGAAATGCACGGCAAGCCCACCTCCAGCCACATCTTCCCAGGCCTACGCAAGGGGGGAGAGGCCCTCCTGAGCAATGCCACAGGGGCCTTCCTGGAGGGCGGGGGCCCACTCGCGGAGGGACCTGGAGGCAGCGACCGTGTTGCTGGGCATGGCTTGGGGTCGGTGGCGTGGACAGAGCCTGCGCAGCCCCGCAAGTTGGCCCTGGAGCAGGCCGAAGAGCTGTGACCCCCCCCCCCCCCCGGCTGCCTCTCCACATGGTATACTGAGAACTTAATTGGGGCAGTGCTCTGGATGCCCGGAAGGGCAGGCAGACCGACCAACTGCTGTCCTGCGGAGCAAGGAGGCAGGATACGGATTTGGCTGGAGCACGAAGCCCATACGAGAAGGCATGAAGAGTGCCCTTTCCCCCCTACCTCCGTCAGTGGACTGCCTCAAAAAGAACAGGTGGCCAGATTTGTGTCGCTGGGCTATTTCTCATCTCACCTTTGGTTTTTAAGTAAAAGGGAATTCTCCCACTGTGCCCTCCCCTCCAGTGATGTCACAAGGGCATTGGAAACAAGGTGCCAGCAGTTTAGTACTAGGCATGGGGAGTGGGGGTGGGAAGCATGCCCTCTGACCCTCAGAAATCTAACTGGGGGGCTTTGAAATTCCATCAGGCATTGCTCTCATATTCAAACATATTGTTGCAGCAATGAGAGCTAGAAACTTTAAAAAAATAAAACCCAAATTTTGAAATCATGGCAAGGACACATCCTTGGCTACACTCCTCTTATTGCAGAGTAAGAGTTGAAAAGGTGCCAAAGGGTCATGCATTCCAACATTTGTCAGCTTTGCTTCATGTTTTATACAATGAGCCTGATCTCATGCAGCCCCTGCCCCCACTCCACAGGACCCACAATAGAATCATATAATTAGAGTTGGAAGGGGCCAAGAAGGGCATTAGATCCAACCTCTACTATTGTAGGACACCAGTTCGCACCATCCCACTCAGATGGCTGTCTGGTTTCTTCTTGAATGTCTCCAGGGTGGGAAAGCTCACAAACTCTCTGGGCAACTGGTTCCAGTGCTACATTGCTCTGATCCTGAGGAAGCTTTTCTGATATCCTGTATCTCGGTTGTTGCAATTTGACTTATTCCGTGTCCTACACTCTGGCATCAGCAAGAGATCTCGACCTTCCTCTCTGTGACAGCCTTTGCTGTACTTTTAGAGTGATACGATGTTCCTGCTCAGCCATCTCTTCTCAAGGCTGAACACGCCCAGTTCTCTCCTCACAGGGCAGTGTTTCCAAACCCTGGATCATTTTTGTTGCTTTCCTCTGAATCCTTTTTTTCTTAAAAGGGGCACCAAGATTTTTAAGATTTTTGTCTTAAACCTTGGTGCCCAGAACTGGACCTAGTATTCCAGATGAGGTCTGACTAGTGAGGAGTAAAGGGGAACTACCAGTTCTTGTGATTTGGAAGTGATGTCTGTTAGTGAGTCCCAAAATAACATTTGCCCATTCTTGCAGCTGCATTGCATTGGTGGCTCATATCTAGCTTGTTATCCACAATTAATTCAAGCTCCTATCTTTCAGCTCTGTTGAGCCACATATTCACTAATAGTGCCTGAAAGCTGTTTGAATGTACCCTTCCAGGATTCTCCTCTTCAGCCTCAGCTTCCATGGCATTTCTTGCTTCTGCACTGCTCTTAGCTCTCACAGTCCCACCACTCTGTCTAAAAGCTCATCCTCATTTATTTCCTTGAGGGGGACACCTGCTGCTCCAGTGCTCTCACCTTTTCCTCTAGCAAGGTCACTAGCTTGCACTTGTTGCTGGTGTAGGCCAGGTTGACCTCAGGCAGGAAAACAAACATTGGACAGGCATACAGATGCTGGCTGACATTTTCAAGTTTTCTTATCTTCCTATGCCCAGATTAGTTCTGTTTGCACTGCTGAGGGGCATGTACAGGTGGGTTTATTGGATGTCTCACAAAGAGCGGTGCAGCAGGCAAGGGGCAGCTCAGAAATGCAAGTGTCCACCTGAGCAGTAGTCAGGTTTCGCAAGGTCCCTGCTACCTTCTTCAGAGGACTTGGCAGCACCTTGCCAAAACTGCCACCCTCTGGCTTAACACATGCACAATTTGCTGGCATTGGCGAATTTCCCTCTTTGTGCCACATGATGTCTGCCAGGCTCTCCAGTGGGCGCACAGTCCATTTCCTGCCCTCTGCCCATGTTCAGGTTTTGCATGCAAAAAGCAGAGTTCCTTATCTAACAGGAGTGCAGCCACTTTGGCTGTCGAGGAGGGTCTTCCTGTGTTGCCCAGAGCTGACTGAGCCCAGTGACACTGAGCTATTCAGAGGACTCTGGGCCCTTAACCTGGAACAGTTTTCAAGCTGTCACTGATTTTAGCCTTCTTAGATGCTCTGTGCAACCACTTTGGAAACTAGATGTTAACATCCTTTGATGCCCCAAGCTGATGAGAGTTTTGCCCACAGGGTGGCAATCTAGGCAGACCCTGTGCACTGCGCCAATCACCTATAGCAGAACTAGAAGGTGGTGGGTGGATGGAAAAAATCTAGGTATGAACCATTACCTGCTTTGCTGCCTCTAAACCACAAGGAGGAAATAATCAACCTGCTTTAATATTGCATGTACATGTTCAGAACCCCACACACATTAAAATATAATATTGGATACACCCTAATTATCTAGATTTGCCTGTTCATTTTCCAACCATCCATGCACACATTCTGCCCACAACCAGGACTGAATTTAAAAACACTCCCTTTGCAGCCTGCCAAACCAAAGGCACATTTAGCAGGAACCTGGGGCAGCTGCCTGGCCACTTACACAGACAAGTGTTGCCTCTTCCACGCTGAAGCGCTTTAAAGAGCTTTTTATCCTTGGCTGCATCAGGCACTATTTTTAGTGGAAAGGCAGGATACAGACATATCACATAATTAGGGGATGTGGCGGGTTGTATCTGACTGGAGCCTCTGAACTGAATGAAGCTGCTGAATGTAGCCTTAACAATCCCAGTCTACTGCTCGGTCTACCGTCCCTTGGAAGAAAGAGGAAGCACCCACTCAGCCTCGACCCTCTTGGGGAATCTCCGATAATTTGCTGTTGCCGAGCCCTGGTGAGGGCGAGCATCAGGTTATGGCTGGTGAGGGTCAACATTTTTACAACAGACTTACTACGGAGCAGTGATATGGCTGTTTTGCAGTTAGTCCTCACAGGACAAAATGTGTTCCTTTGAAATGTTCCCTGTTGTAACGAGCCCAGATCAGGATTTTGCAAGCGCTGGAGCACATGTGACCCACTTCTAGGCAAAGCCATTTCCGTACACGTGCTGATTTGGCTGGAATCAGCCTTTCCTTGAGGATCCAGGATTGCTTCCTTCCTCCCTGAAAAAGCTCTGGCTCCAAGCAGGAGGACTCAGTGGCAACTTGGCTTCTGTCAGCAGTGGCAAGTAATCATGCCATGTGAAAGACAATGGATCAGGAAAGGGACACCTCAGCTGGTGACTCAGGATGCCCCAAGACCTCCAGACTTCAGCTCCCAAGGCATGCTTTACAACAGCAAAAAGCCTTAAATACAAAAGGCGATCTTGTAAGAAAGTGGAGCTCTCACTGCATTAACATGGGAAAATGGGTAATTTCCTAATGAGTAGATGTTTTGCTCATGCTGTATTGAATGGTGGGAGCTTCCACCAAGGACCAACATAGCCACATATTTGTCCATCAGATTCTGCTTCTCCCGACATTATTGCTGTTTTTGAATGGTTTTGATGGTGGGCTATGCCTGGCTGAAGACTTGATTTGCTCTGAAAGCTCTGGCGTTGCATTAGATCCCTTTGATGGCTCATCTGAACTTGCAAAAAGAAGTCCCAGTCATTTGAAACACCTGTCTGTGTGAACCAGTCTTGGGATATTTAGGCCCTATTTAAAGTTAATGGAAAATCACAAATTCCTGCTACTGGAATGTATACATGCTCTCCACTGGGCTTGTTTTTATTAAACTTTGTAAACAAATCACATTTCTGTGAGTGTGACATCACAGGGAAATGTGGCTTGCTCAAAAAGAGATGCTGTTTCCCATCTCCTCCCATGCACAAAACGGGAAGAGGGAAGGGTGGGAGTGTGTCAGGCAAGGTCACGTGTGTCCCTTCCACGCAAAGAGGAGGTGGGGAGTGGTCAGCAAACATCCCAGGGTACTTGCGCTGTACCATGTGCTCTGGCACAGCTCAAGAAAATGAGTCCGGAGCACCAACAGCCTCCAGCTAGGGGCATGCTGAGCACAGAGGCAGCAGCTGTAAACACCAAGGAGGGGAAAATGCCACATATCTTCAAAAGGTCACATATAAAAATGGATGTCAAAAGGGTTTCCTATGCAGGCAACATGAACACACAGAGGGCAGTTCAGGTAGGCAATGATTCCCGTTTTGGTCGCTTGGCCATGATGGCGTCTGTGTCCAGCACACAGGGTTCCTCTCTGGGAGCAGTGCTGTGCTCCGCCATGCCGTTGCAGTCCAGGTCAGGCTCCTCCTTGCTCAGAAATTTAGTGTTTGTGCTGGGTTTGGCCAACGGCTTGGCCTCACTGAGGTCCGCACTGTCCACCACCACTGGCCTGGTCCATTCAGGGATCTCCAACCCGAGCTGCTTCATGAGTTTTGCCATGACTTCGTCCACGTAGCCATGAATGCGCAGATCAGCGTGCTTGTCCTGGCCGGAGAGGAACAGAAGCGGGTGGGGGGGGGGCTGATCAGGTGGAGGGAGGGCAAAAGGGCGCGCAGCAAGTGGGGATGCAAGGCACATGGGGCAGCCCTGGCCCCGAAGCCAAGCAGTTCTGCGGGGCAGGCTATGCCATACTGCCACCCAGGGCAAGTCCAGGGCGAAAAACGGGGCTCCCACCTCCTTGGATCGAAGGGTGGATCGAAGAGGCCGTAAGACGCATCCTCTCTCCCCTGCTTTCCCTCCCCAAATGGTGGTCGTGCGTTCAAGCCACCTAAGCATGTCGGGTGGGAGCAGCCCCACTTGAACTGGCAGAGCCTGTTCTGGGGCAGCTGTGGGGCAACTGCCCCGAGGGTGTGGAGGGCGAAGACTCACGTGCTTCGTCTGCTGCAGGTTGACAATCACCAGCTTCCCGCCCTTCTTTTTCGTCAGCAGAGGGAGGTCTCCGCTGGGCTTGATTTGCAGAGATGTCCCCAGCGTGATGGACAAGTCAGCTCTCCTGCAAGGAGGAGAGAAATGAAGGCCGGTTCCCACACTGTGCCAGGACCAGCTGCAAGGGACCACCCTTTCCTGAGCAGCAGTGGGGCCCTCTGTAGCTCCTTGCTACACAGTCATGGTCAGACCCAGGCGGGAGATGAATGTCTCGCCACGTGACGAAAGGATGCAGTTAGACAGCAGCAATACCAAGTCACCACTTGCAAGCTGGACACAGGCCATCTGTACTGGAATCAGAATCAGGTCCGACAGCTCAGCGCAGGGGCATTTCCCCTCATCCGCTCAACCCCCTTCCTTGGGCTTCATGCCTCCTTTAGACATTAAGTCTGAGGGCATGGACTGTCCGGATGATGGACTCCCGTGAGCCGCACTGGGAGACTTTTGGCTGAAGACCAGCATCATCCAGTTCACAGACGTCAGACACTCTACGTGGGCTCTAAGCTACTCGAGCTACGCCCAGAGCTATGCAAGTGCCAGAAAAGGTCCCAGCCAGCTGGGACCAGGGTCCTGCCTTAGATACATGCCCCTGGCCTTTGAGAGGGTCCAGGGCAGCTTTGCTGGTCATTCCAAATGGGGCACGTCCCTAACTCTAACCCAAACCTCAGTCCTAACCCTAATGGCCAGCCTTCTCAGAGTTCCCCTTGGGAGACTCTCCTGCATGCAGGTCAGGAGGCATTGAATGTGGCCCCTTCCGAGTGGGCCTTCCCGGGCTCATCATTAAATGACCCCTTCTGCTCCATTTCACTGCATCAACTACTGCTCTGCATGATTGCAGCTAGAATTTAAAAAAAAATATTTTAAAGGTCATTTCAATAGTAATATTTTCATTTTAGGAAAAATACACAAACTTATTATTCTTAGAGATATAGAAACACCACAAACATAAGTCATAAAATCATTGAGTGGTGGTCGTTTACCTGCTGATTAACAGTGTCTAGCGTGGTGCCCAGCCCCAAAATAGTTTCTTCCCTGGCCAACCTGCTCTCGTTATTAGGAAATTCCTCCTAAATTTAGTCAAAATGTGGTGTAGTGCTTGAAAGAGTTCGTACGGTGCAGTGTAGTGCAGTGCTTGAGAGTGTGGGACTGGGACTCAGCTGATCTGGGTTCTATCAGCATCAGCATCATTACTGGCTATTTCATTTCTCTACCACCCCTCAGTCGAAGCTCTCTGGGTGGTTTGTAACAGCCCCAGTTCAGCTCAGCCATGGAGCCCACTGGGTAACTTTGGGCCAGTCACACACTCTCAGCCCAGCCTACCTCACAGGGCTGTTGTTGTGAGGATAAGGTTGAGAGGAGGAAAAGAATTAGGTTGGCCACCATGAGTTCCTTGGAAGGAAAAAAGAGCAGGATATAATAACTAAATCCTGCTTCCCCATCAACTCCCTCCCTCGGGGCTCGACTAGACTCCTGCATCCAGCAGCCACAAAGAGCGTGTGGCCCTCTCTCCTGTGTGAGAACCCTTCAGGGATTGAGCTCGTGGTCACACCTCCCCTCGTGGAGCACCGTGCACTGGCTCTGACACAGCGGCCACGCCGCAGGTCCTCCCAAATTGCTCCTGCTTTGCCCAGTGTCTCCTCCACCCTCATCTTCAAGGGGGCCTGCTTGCTGTTGCCAGAACCAGAATGAGAGGCTAAATCACCTGGTTCGGCAGCGCCCATCCCATGTTCCTACCAGAAAGGGGACTGGGCACGTTCATGGGAAAGATCGGCAGCGAACCAGCATGGCCGCTGAACGCAGCCTCCCTTTGTGGAAGCAACCCATCCAAGAGCATCCGGAGTGCCGTGCTGGGCGGGTCCAGCCTTCTGCTCCTGCAGTGACCAACCAGATGGCACAAGTGGGAGCCCCACATGAAGGGGAGTGCAATAGCACCCTCTTGCCCATGTTCCCCAGCAACTGATGCACACAGGTGCTCTGCCTTGGGTCCAGGAAGCAGGAAACAACCATTCTGGACAGGCTCACCCTCCCTGAATTTGCCCACTGTAACAGTATCCTGGGCGGCAGCCGTCACTGCAACTTGGGGCCGGGCATTCGTTTCTCCCGCTGTCCTGCATCTTCCTCCAGCCAGCATCATGGAATGCCACTGAGAGAGAGAAAAACTGCTCCCCCTCCACACCGCGCACTGCTTTGCGAGCCTCTGTCATGTCTCCCCCTTATACACACTTTCTCTGAAGCCAGAAGCCCCAAAGGACCTCACAGGAGAGTCGTTCTGTGCACAGAAACTTCTTGTAGTTTTTTCTGGAGCGGAATGACATGGCTAGCCCTTTGGAGAAGACCCAGATGAAGGCTTTGCAGAAGTGTTGCGTACAGAATTACCGAAATGCTGATCTAACAATCTGAATTTAGCTGCCTGTTCAGGCTGGTAACCGTGCATCTCAGAACTGAGCTAATCAGGTGCAACTCTGTGACATGAGATGGTGGAAGGACCTTACCTGCTGGCTTCACTAGCCAAGCTGAGATCACGGTCCGGCAGAGAATCTTCCCAGTCTAAGATGGTGTCCATTAGCTTCCCTCTTCAAAAACAAAAACCATGTTTAGCTACAAGCGTCTAGGAATGTCAAAGAGAAACCCAAGTCGAAAACGCAATCAGTTCTTGTGGGAGGAACAGCCATTCTCTCCCAGAGACTTTGGAGGCAAACATCTGCCACAGGGAGAAGGGCGTTTCCTCCTCCCAGGAAGTCCTGGGGTAGGGAAGACCTCCCGTCTAGCATTCCTACCACTCTCTCCAAAAACAAGTCCCTAGAATGTTTAGGGCATTGCTCCTCAAACTACGGCCCGCGGGACGGATCTGGCCCGCCATGGTCATCCATCCGGCCCGTGCTGCTGTTCGCTACCCGTGCTTGCTGCATGAGCAGTGAGGTGGTGGCTTGCTCACTCGGAGATGGTCTCTGAGCAAGCAAGCCACTGCCGCCTGCCTCCCTTTAGAGATGGTCTCCAAGCAAGTGAGCAAGCCGCCGCCGCCTGCCTCCCGTACGCGAGCACCTGCCTCCCCCAGGCACCCCACCTCACCAGCTTGCAACGGTCACCACAGCCTTTCAACTGGCCCCCTGTTCAAAAAGTTTGAGGACCCCTGGTTTAGGGGAAGCTGAATCTGTTTAAACGGATATAAAACTGAACAGCTGGCAGAGTAGATCTCATTTTGCTACTTTAATTCAGGTGGGGTTTAAAATAGCAAGAGCAGTTTCCAAAGGCAGGGAAGGGGTAGCAAAGCCCACATAGTAAGTTGGTCACAGGCTTCAAATACTGCATGGAGGCAAACACATTCTGGGAGAGGCCCTCTGCTGCTCAAGATCTCCTGGGCTCCAAATTCTCACCTTTTCTCTGATCTGCAGCACATTCAACAGCCCCTCCTAGCCCAGAGATGCACCCACTTGATCCTACCGGCATGTCCCCTTCTGGAACTTTGTGCTTGCATGAGAGAAGCTTAGTTTCCACAGCCCCCACCCCTGCTCTATTGGCTGAAGTTGCTGGAAGGTCACAGAACTGCACCAATATTTTAAATTGATCCGGAGAGACACCACAATAGCATTCTCATGGAGGAAAGGCTCAGGCAGGCACAGGGAGCTCCCTTCAGCCCACAGGCAAAATGCAATTCTGCAGAAGCTCCCAAGGGTGGGGGGGGGGTTTGGAACCACCAGCACAAGAGGCAGCAGCACATCTTGAGTGCCAGTAACAAAGGTGAGCATTTTTTTGCTTTCAGAAAGGGGATAAAAACTTGTGCAGAAGGCAAAGCATCAGCCAGTTATCAGCAGTAATGGCCATGTAGGTTTGGCCTGCCTCAGGGAACTGCTCTGGGCAAGACTACTTATGATTTGATTTGTATGCCGCCCCACTAGCCACAGGCTCTCCAGGCAGCTCCCATCATTACAACAGACTAGCTCCTCAGGAGGCTGCGGTTTGTCTCTCACCTGCCCATGGATTGCTGAATAAGGTAAGGGCCCAAGAGATGGATGGGGGGACCTCCCACTGGGCAGAATTAACACAGTGGCAAGTGGATGTACACACTTAACGGACTGCTGATGGCTAGGAGAACAATGACTCCACAGCCAAAGAGGGCTGAATTTCATGTTGCAGGTTTGAGAGGGCCACTCATGAGGCCCATGGAGGCTCGCTCCGTGGAAGTGAGCCTGCAACAACCCTCCACAAACTCTGCTGGGTGTCTCTGGTGCTGGATGGCTCCCACTCTCCTGTGGGGCAGCGAGAGAGCCCTACAGCACAGTCCGTCACTGTCTGGCCTTCCAAATGTCACTGGGGACTAAACTGAACACGGAACTCCTGGAAGACAGGGTGCACCCATGACGGGGGAGTGGAGAGGGACACATACCTGCAAGCCCGAAGCCCTCTGTGTTTGGAGGCGTCACACAGGCGGCCGGTGGGCTTGAGGCCCATTGTGCCTACCACCGTGTCCCTCACGTACTGCCTTGAACGCAAACAGAGCAGGAGCAGCAAAGGGTTAGGATCTCCCAGCAGCAGCACTGAGGGGGATGCCAGGGAGAGAGGAAGACCCCCCCCCACCCCACCTGCCATTCAGGCCCAGAAGCCCAGGCGGGTCACAGGAGAATGGCAATGGGTCAGCAGGAGGCCTGCACACCCGCCCGCCCCCCCTCACCCCTGCAGGGCCAACCAGGGAAGCCCTGCCTGGAGATGCTTCCAAGCAGGGCAGGACTGCAGCGGCACTTCTCTGCCACCCATGGCGCGCTGCCTGCAGCCCAGGACTGGAGACAGAATGCCCCGAAGTCCCGCTTGCAGGGGAATGAGAGCAGGAGACTCTGCTCAAGCCCCGTCTCCCTCAGACCTGCCTGAGGACTTCCCCGTGGGGCATGGGGCTGGCCAGTGCAGGAACAGAGTGTTGGACGGGAGAGGCCTCGGCCTGCTTTCCCGATGGCCATCCCTGGACCATGTTGGCACGTACAGAAAACTCACTGTAAGAAATCTGCCCTGTTTGCTGGCCCCAAACAGCCCTGACAGACCTTGCTTGTCCTCACTGAAACTAGCATGGCCACACTGGTTGGGAATGGGAGTTGTAGGCCAACTCATCTGGGGGTGCCCAATTGGGGAACGCTGTTTCAAATTAAATGTTTGAACCCTGTAGATTTCCCCCCACACAGCAGATGGTCAAAAGCCCGCCAGGTTTTCTGCTACCTTTTCCCCAGCTCTGCAATCTCTCTTTTGTGATAAGGCAACTAGGATAGAATGCAGGACAACCCCACGGCCCCCATTCTCCTCCACAAAAAGGGTGATCAGAAAGTAAATCTCCAGAAGTGCTGGACTTCTGTTCCCCACTTTTCCAAGTACTGGCCATGCTGGCAGAGGCTTCTGGGAGCTGCAGTCCCAAACATCTGGCAATCTACCATCTGCCTGCCCCATCCTGAAAGGCCTCAGGTGGCAGAGGGGAACGTACCTGCCACATTTCATGCATTCCTCCATGAACATGTTGCCATGCAACTCTGCTAGCTTGTTCCTGCAGAAGAGAAAATAGCAGGAACGTTTGCTAGCTTCAGTAGAAAGGGTAGGTCAGGTCGAAAAAAGCACCAAACACTGGAAAGGGAATAGCTTGGTGGAAGTGCCCCAGCTTTGCGTGTGGAACCTCCTGGGTTCAATTCCTGGCATCTCTTGATTCTTACTTGACCCTTGGATCTTTCTTTTTAAAGGGAAGGAGAATGATTCAGAAGTAAAGCCTCTCTTCTGCATGCAAAAAATCCAGGATTCAGCCCATGGCATCCCCAGGTAGGGCTGGAAAAGCACCAGCACCTTGCTGTCAGTCAGTCCATAAGACTTGGCTCGATGGAGCAAAGGACAGGCTCAGGATAAGGCAACTTTCTATAAAGCCATTTCAGGGAGCCCCAGGCAAACTGCTTTCATATAAAAGGAAACAAGACACACTGCCCATTACCTGGGGAAGCCAGAACGCACGTGCAGGCCGTCCACATTCTGACTGACCAGGAACTTCAGAATGCCTGCTCGCTGCAGCTCCAGTAGGGCCATGTGGGTCTTGGATGGCCGTGCGTTCTCAAAGGTGGTGTCAAACTTGGGGGACAGGCCCCGCTCCTCCATGGTCCAGACACCATTGGGACCCCTGGAAGGGGGAAAAAATCCAACTACTGAGCAGGCACAGCTGTGGCTGACCAGCTGCTCTCCTGAAATCTTGAAATCCAGAGTTGTGTGCTGGGAGAAGCAGAGGTGGCTTCGAAGAGCTGCAGCACAGTCACTGCAGTTCTGCTATACTGCCCAACTGTCAACGCACTCAGGGACTGAAACCCTCAGAAGACACACTGCTGATCAAGAGGGTTGTGGGAGATTCCCTCATCACTGGACTTGTTGCAAAGACCTCCTGAGAAAGGAGTTCAGAGGCCGATTCAGTGTCTGTTTGGCTTTTGCCACATCGTGCAAAATTGAGGGACTATTTGGGCAGAATTCTAATCTCCCAGTGCTCCCTCCCCAGGCTCAAGCAGCGTCCATGGTTCATCAAGCCTGTGGATTCCCTCATCCTGCTCTTCCCCTCAGTATACCCAGCCTCCAAGACAAAAGCATCTCCCACAATGCCTAAAAAGTTAGGAAAGCTGTGCATGATCTCCCTTCTGTTAGGTACTTTGAGTGCTTTGGAGAAACATATTTGACCCAAGCAGTGACTGACCTCCTGCAGTCCCCCAACCAGAACACAAACCCGAACACAAAGGCCTCGAGGTCTGTTTCAGGCCTCGACTTTTGTACCTGGCCTCAAAGACACCCAGCAGGGCCCACCCTTGCGCCAGCCAATAGCTAGATGGGCCCTGGAATAAAAGAGCTGCCTTCACTGCAGTGTGGCCATGTGGTCCAGGGGTCGGTGGGATATACCCCTGTATTCCCTTATGCAGCTGCAAGTTTCCTTGCTCGGCTTACCTGAAATCTGGGATCCCTGAAGCTGTACTAATGCCAGCCCCAGTGTGGAAGACCACATTGGAGGCATTGCGGATCAGGCCCACCAGCTGCCGGACCTTCATCTCCAGCTCCTCCGGAGGGTCAAAAAACTGAGCAGAAAATGGAGGAAGGCAAAATAAGTTTGCTCAAGTTAATGAGAAAAGTCAATCAGCCTTACAAAGTCTACACTATTGAAACCCACCTCACCTCCAAATTTGCATCATGCACTTATCTTTTGCAATAGTTTCCAATCTTGCCAGCCTTAGCCAGGCATTACTTATAGCCCAGTTGAGGGCAGCGTGTTTTTACAGAGTTCACACTGGTCTCCAAAGATGGTTTTTTTTTTTAATCAGTCTCTCACACTCATTATAATTATTAGGCTAATTTTGCTGTCTGTGGTTTATATTGATTCTGGGTGGTTTCCTGGTATATTTGCCATGGATTCCAGAATTTGCATAGGGGGGCTGAAGTGGGTCATGTTTTACAATGGGAAGCAATGTGGAATAAGAAATATAATCATAGGCAAATTTATAGCATGTTTTATGCCAGTGTGGTGCAATGGTTAGAGTGTTGGACTGAGGAACCAAGAGATCTAGGTTCATTTGGCCATGAAACTCACTGGGCTGCCACCTATCAGCCTATCCTACCTGACAGGGTTATTGCAAGAATAAAACGGAGAGAACCTCATAAACTGCAACCAAATGCAACCAGTCAATACATATTATGACTACTGCATGATTATGGCTGACATTTTGCAATGTTTCAGGCATGCTCAGGAGAGGGAACCGGGAAGCAGCAAACAAGAGGGGCAGCGGGAAGACCAGACTCCAGTCCTTCAGAAGGCAAAGGTCCTTTGGGGTGGGGGGAGAGAAAGGTAGCTGGCTGTGGGGGCAAGGTGCTCCAGGGAAGGGGAAAGGAGGTCCCTTCTTGGGGAGGCAAAAAAACCCCACGAGAATGGGGGGCACGTTTGCCTTTTATTCCCCGCCTGGTTTCTTGAGTGAAAGGGAAAAGGGGCAACTACGGCCTCCCGCCACCATCCTTTGGACGGTTTCCATGGCAACCGCGAGGCCTCGGCTCTCACCTCCGGAAGGCCGCACTTGCCCTTATCCGCGTAAGGCGAGAGCCCCGCCGCGTAATTCACGGACATCCTCGCGCCGCCTCCCTCTTCCCCGTTTCCTCGAATGCCTATGAAGTTTTCTCGCGTGGCTTCCGGTCACGGGAGAGGAAAAGGCGGACCCTTTTCTGAACATGCGCACCACCTCAGGCACGTCTGAGAAAAAAATGCACGGTAGCGAGCGCCATCTTCGTCTCTCGCCTGTCTTAGAAGAGGCGACGGTAGGCGGCGCCATTTCTGTTCCTGGCAGGAATGAGCGACTCGTTTCTAATGGACGCGGAGAAAGGCTAAGACGGATTAGCGGGAGGGGTGCCATCTTTGTTGCAAGCAAAAGGCGTCATTGGTTAACGCGGCAATAACAAACCGTGCCATGTTTGTTTCTGGCGGAGAGAATTGCCCAGGGCACCATCTTTCCCATTCTTTTCTACTCCTCTTTTTTCATTTTTTCTTTATTCCCCCGCTTCGGCTTTCTTGCTTTTCTGCCTGAACTTGCTTCCTTCCTTGCTTCATTTTTTCTTGCTGGCTTGATTCGGTTTCTTTCTTTCTTTCTTTCTTTCTTTCTTTCTTTCTTTCTTTCTTTCTTTCCCTTTCTCAGTTTCATTTCTCTCTGCTTCAGCTTTTTTCCTTCCTTCGAATCCCAGTTTCATTCTTCATACCTTCCTTCCTTTCAAACCTTAGTTGTCCTCCCTCCCTCCCACCTGTATTTCAATTTTCTTACCGCCAACCTTCCCCAGCTTGCTTGCTTTCTCAGCTTGCTTTCCACCCCAGATCACATAGGATCAGATGTCTGAGGACATGATATTGTGCCCCCACCCCCGTGCACAAATCCCCCCCCCCGTTTTCAGTAGAGAATAGGTAACTAGGTCACATGCAGACTTGCCTTCTCAGTTTCCTCCCTCCCTTCTCAGCCTTTTGACAACTGAAACTCATAAGGCAAGACTGGATTAAACACCTTGTACACCTGTGAAAGACCAAGGAACAGAATTAGTTTATATTGAAGAATGAGGAACACAGTTGTGCAATTTTCTGGGGTTAAAAAACATACATCCCCCCCATGCACTTTTTGAAAGTGCCTAAACAAACAAAAAACAAGATGCTGCAAATGAAAAGGGGTAGGATTAAAGAGTCACAGGGTGACGTGAGACACCCAGAGACCACCTGGGAGATTGTGGGGGAAGGACAAGGAAAACAAGCTGTGGTGTGCACAACTGTCGGCCAGGTGTTCTGTGGATTGTTTGCTGAGCATCTCCCATGGCCAGGTTTGCATGATTATGGGGTGGGGAAAGCTGTGGCAGCCTCTTTTCCCTGTCCTTGAATGCAAAGCCAGTTCTTCCCTATTGCACCATCTGTGCTTGGCTCTCCTGGGAAAATAAGTTGCGGCAGCTTCCTTTCCTGCTGCCAGTTGCCCATGTGCCACTTATTTGTGAGCTTGCTTTGCATGACCTGGAAGCATGCCTGTTGGCCGCAGCCAGGTCTCCGAAGAAGGTGAGGCCTACTGAAGGAGAATTGAGCACAAAAGTGTAATCACATGCAGGAAGAGGATCATTCCGGAATTTCCTGTAAGGGAAAGTGGTGGCTGCCTTCTGGAATTAATGCATAAACCTATCCAAGGTTAGGCAGAAGACCTGCAGTTCATGGCTCAGCCAGCGTGCCTCAACCAGAGCAGTAGGCTCTTTTTCTGTCTAAGCTTGTTTAGGATTGTACCCTCAAACCATTTTTAATCTGCTCCTCAACAAAGCAAAAGGCTCCACCTAAAACATTAGTAAACAAGCCACAAGTTTATGATCTAAAAAGAGACACATCACACAAGGAAAAAGCAAAGGGGAGGACAGAGGAAAAATGAAGCAGACTTCCTGTTGGGCTGGTGGAAGGCACTGCTCCTTCCTCTCCTCTCTCCCAGGTTCCTTCTGTCCTCCCACACAGCACCTTGCCAGGTGAGATTGATATAGGTGGGGCAGCTGAACGATTAACCTGTGACAACTAAATGAGGAACTTCTTGGTCCAGAAGTTGGAGAGAGCTGGGCAGACTATCAATATGCTGCCATATTGGGATATCTCTGCAGTGGGAAGGGACAGTAGATGTGATCCCATTTTTTGTATAAGAAGAACCTCAGAAGAGCCTGTCTTGCAAAGGCCCCCTTTGGGCTAGAGTCCCTTTTGTCCACCTTTCTGTCCAGTAGCCATGGACTGCCTTCTCCTCCATGAGCTTGTCCAGTCATGTTTCCCCCAAATTCCCCCAGATTCGCAGCTGTGAGTTCTACAGTTTAACTTTGCCCAAGGTTTGCTTTATGAGATGACCCCTTTGATTCCTAGAAGGCAAAAAAGCCCCTCCTTCTCAAAACCATGCACCATTTTGTATACCTCTGTCATGTCTCCCCCAATCACCTTCTTCATAGCACGATAATGCTATTAATAGTAATGCTATTAGTGATGGCACAAATGATGTCCAAATTATGTAGTATTGGCTTCTGTTTCTGCATTCTTGAGAGTAAAGAAAACACCACGATGTGGAACAAGTGGGTTTAATGCTACTGGTGGGTACAGAATCCCTCCTTGCTGTAGAATCTCAAAACTTGCAACCTGTCTTCACCATGTTTCCCTTTTATGGGGGAGCTCTGCAGCTATTAGAAGACAGTCGGCTTCTAATTGGTCAGGCATGGGTAACTTTACCTGTTGCAGGTGGTAACTTAATTCCTGTGGCTGAATCCGCCCTTCCAGTGCAATCTGATTCTCACTGGCTGCTCAGCTATTGCTTTAAGCACCCTGATAATGTTGGCCAGGCCAGGTAAAAAGATACTTTTGAGTTTGCTTTTTTCTCTTTCCCCTCTGCTGTAAGAGGATGCAGAGCACCAGGAGTGACCAGGTAAAGGAGGGGAATTGAGGGGGAAATAAAATGGAAAGGAGGGGAATGAAAGAGCACTGCTCTGAGAGTTTATCCTGGGTCATGCACCAGGGACTACATCAAGTAAATTCAGTATTTGGTAGTGCTGCATTTGACAAAAATATTTGGAAATGGCAGATTCTTTCCTTCCTTAGAGCTAAGGGGTGGCCTGTTAGGCAAGCTTCCCAAGGTTTGCATACAGGGAATGCAGAGCCCCTGGTTTGTGCTGGTTTGGTTTTGGTTGTGGTTTTCTCCTTCCCCCACCCTTTCCAGCAAAGTGGAAGGGAGCTCTCCTGGACACACAATAGGGTTGAGCGAGTAGCAGCTGTGGGAGCTGCTGCTCCCTGGTGCACTGGATGGTTCGCCCTTACTTACGCCAGTGGGATGGAGGGTGGCGGCATCTGGAGGTTTGAGCAGAGACAGCAGAGAATTTGATTCCTGGTTTCCTATCCCAGGTGGGCTGTGCTGAAGAAGAGTGAGCAAATCCACCATTCAGCATGAGAAAGGGAAGGCCCCAAAGTGCAGATAGCTGTCACGTGGCAAGAAGGCTGCAGGGTGAACCCAGCTGAGGCTTACAGTTCCAATCCATGCATGCAAAGGGTCGAAGGATCCACCCTTGGCAAGTTAACCTAGGGCTGGGAAAGACCCCCTCTGCTCCTGAGGCCTGGGAGAGCCTCTGGCAGCTGCTAGAGGCAAGCCTGCATCTGACTGAGGTTAAGGTTCTTGTTTGAATCAGCTCTGGAGTCAGAACCATGAGGACAGAACCTTACCTTACATGCAGAGGGAAGACACTGCTCTTTGGAAGAGCCCTTGCTCTGCCCCCCAGAGAGTCCCCATGTCAGTCCCTGTCATCTCCAAGCCAGGCTGGAAAAGGGTCTTGCCTGAACTTTGGACAGTTCCTGCCGCTTGGAGCAGAAAAGACCCATGATAATGCACTTCCCCAGCACAGCCTAGTGCATGAGTCCTCAAACTATGGCCCGCGGGATGGATCCGGCCTGCCATGCCCATTTATCTGGCCTGCGTCGCTCACTCGCAAGTGGTTTTGGACTCGCTGGGAGAACTCCGAGTGAGCCACCGCTGCCATGCACGTTCAACACCACCTTGCACGCACTCGAGGATGCCTCGCTGGCCCGTGCGCCCAACCCCCCCAACCTGCCCACACATGTAGCCACCGCCTTTCAACTGGGCCCCTATTGAAAAGGTTTGAGGACCCCTGGCCTAGTGGGTAGACTGTTGGACTGGGATGCAAGGGACCTGGTTTCTAGTCCCCACTTGGCTGTGCAGCCTGCTGGGTGACTTTGACTGACTCAGCCTCACCCACCTCACAGGTTTGTCATGAGGATAGAATGGAGAGGAGGATGACTCAGAAGAGGAAACAAGTGGGGATATAACTATACAAAATAATAACTCACCATAAGTTATTCAGTAGCTTCCTATGTAAATTAGTTCATTACTCAGACCCATGAGGACTGGAATCTTCCTTTACTCTTAGCAGGATAGATGGACCAATGGCCTAACTTCATAGAAATGTTCATGGTTCCATGATTCCCACTCGCTCTGAAGCCCCATCTATGTATCCCCCTTTCCTCTTGCACTGCCCTGGTAACACAACCCTTGTCTCGGCACCAGGGATCCCTACTTCTGGGCCGAATAATGTGGCTTTCCCCTCTCTCCAGTGTTTCTCTGTTTACTTGTGCCATGCTGAGCCACTTCTTGGTTTGTCTGTTGCAGAGGGTGAAAGATCTGAAGTCAAGATGAAGAGTCTCAAAGCCAGGTTTAAGAAAGCTGATGTGAGTAGGAGCTGATGCCGGTACTCTGCTCTTCAGCCTGGACCTTTAGTAGGGGCCAGCCCTGGTCCCCGGTTTTCTCCATCCCCCTTTATTTCAGGGGCATCCAGACTTGCTCAGTGGAAGAGCCATGGAAGGCAAATGTCATGCTTGCAAGCCTAGGGTCCTGGTTTCACCAGCTGATTTATTTGCTTATTCTGCAGGAAGTAATTAAACTCTGGTTTGCAGGTTGTATGTAAAAGGCCTACATGCCTGGTGAACGGTTCCTGCAAGGTTTCTGGCTGTCCCCCCACGCATCTCTCAGGCTGGCTACAGGCCCGTTTAATCCTTAGGAAGGGGCAGCCGCCCACTCCGAGGGCAGCCAATGGAACTCCTTCCCTGTGAGGGGAGGTCTCCGTGGTTTGCTGTGGTTGTGAAGCTATGTGGAGGGATCCAACACCAGCTTAGGTCCTGCCCATGCACTCTTGAAGTTCATTCTCTGACTGGGACTCAGTCACCAACCCTCCTGGATGGGTTGGACTACAGGACCCATCACCCCCAGTCAGCAGGCCCACACGGGTGATGGGATGCTTTGGGACAACAAGTCCAGCCTGCAGAACGGAACCTCCCTGGATATTGGAGCAAAGCGACTGCTGCCTGGGATGCTGCCATCCCAGAGCTGATGCGTTAAGGGCCCCCAGCAGTGTGGGGCGGGGCCACACTGGAGTTCCCTCCAATAGCAAAGAGAGGTGCTGAGTCCTGACAGAATGGGAGCCCAAGTGTGGCCACTGGGAAACAAGAGGGAGGTGTTAACACATAGCATGTGTGTGCATGTGCAGAGTGGCAGGAGACAAGGGAAGGGCTGCAAGTCTGTAGAAGTGTAAGCCCCCCCCCCCCCCCAACCTGGAACGAATGCATAAAGGGCACATGCTTTATCAACTGCACACAAGCATACTCAATAGTGGAATGGAAGGAGGAGGAAGGAGGACACTTTGGGCTGGCTGGGACCCTGAACAGGAAGGGAAGATTTACGGCAGCAGTTTGTGTTTTTGCAGGAGCCATGCTGCTTCCCTCTTTCTGTCTGCAACAAAGGAGCTTCAAAAGCTGCTGCTCCTGCATCCTCTTGGCTCAGGCTGACCTCAGAGGCTTATTGGGGTTTCAAACCAGGGCCTTTCCTGCGCTCCCAGGAGGGCGGGGACTGGACCAGCGACTTTTTGCGTGCCAGGGCGAGGAGAGACAAGCGGAGCCCCCACTGCAGGGCGGTGGCCATGGGCATTGCAGTGGCACGGAGCTGAGTCCCCGTTGATGCGACCACTGGCCTTACTTGTGCAAAGCTCTTCATTTCGTAATTAATCCCCAAGCTGATCAGAGCTGGCAGCAGCCCAGGTTGCCTGGCACATGGCCCGTCCAGCTGCTGCCTCTAAATGGTCAGGCTGAGAGGGAAGCAGGGAGGGGAGGGACCACCTATTGGGCAACCTCTCCTATTTCCCCTTCTGTGTGCACAGGCTGCACCAACAGCTTTGTGGGTGGAACTGGTCTGGATGTGGGAGCTGGGGTGACATTTAGTGTGAGCGCAGAGGGTGGGAGAGAGCTGGCATGTCGCCTCTGGCCCAGACAGCTTGGCTGCACCCCAGTCCCATGCCTGTGGGGAGAGAGGCTGCTTGGTTTGCTCAGTAGGTGAGACCAGCACTCTGCATATGCTCAGAGGTAACTGTACGGCTGAAGCTTGGCACTGAAAGCAAGTTCTGAGGCTTTGCCCTGGTGGGTCCTCAGATCACGTTCTTCCCACCTTTGTCTTAGTTTCCTGCAAGTGATGGGGGCTCAGGTTTAGGGGCACTGAGGCATCCTGGGAGAAACACCCAAGTCAAAGAAAGCAAACCAAGCCCCCTTCTGTGAGCCCTTCCCAAAGGTCTGCCACCACCTCCAACCCAGCATTGTTCCTGCACCTCTGTCACAAGGGAGTTCAACCTTCAGGCTCATTCTGTTTGAGAGAACCTCTTGGGCTGCACTGCAGAGGAGGCTGGAGCTATGGGGCGCGACCAGTACACTAGAAACAGAAGTGGGTTTTGGCGTAAGGAGCCTCCTGCCAAGATGGGGGCCTTTGTTGTCCCTGTTAGGATAAGGGAGAATCAACACAAAGGCCAGGAAGCCCCCAAGGGACAGGTGGTGGAGAAAGAGTTGTGGCTGCTTGGCTGAACCCCGATTTCATCCCCAGGAGAGCCGCATCTGGTCTTCGGAGCACAAGTTCTGCCTTCCTGGCTTACCAGGTGCATCAGAGGCAGACATGACAATGCAGCCTAGTGAGAAACAGAACAGTAGAACTGGAAGGGGCCAAGAGGGCCATCGGATCCAACCCCTGCTCAGTGTGGACTGCAAGTTAAACCATCCCTCCCAGAAGGCTGTCCAGTTGCATCCTGAATGCCTCCAGTGGGAGAGGCCGCCAGCTCCCTCCGTCATGGGTTCCATTGTTGCAGTGCTCTAACTGTCCAGAAGCAGTGGGAAGGGGAGGTAACTCCTCCTGTTGAATTTCTGCCTACTTTGTAGCTATGCAAGGCAATGGATGGCCCTGCTAAAATGGAAATAGCAGATCCCACCAATCTCTCCCTTTTGAAAGCTTCCCTCAGGCCACTCTGAGGGTCTAGGACTAGGAGAAAGGAGATAAGGGTCTCCCGCTTCACTTCTTCCATGCCAGGCACCTTTTGTCCCCCTCTATCATGTTTCCCGCCACCCTTTTCTAACCTAAAAAAGGTCAGAAGCTGCCTCTGTGAAGGCACAATCCTATGCATTTTAGATAGGAAAAAGGCCTCAAACCCTCAGCGTTTCCAGCTGGGAGACGTCGGCCCTTTTTTCTGTCCAAAAATGCATAGGATCACATTCTCATTTGCCTTTTCTGCTTTCTTCTGAAGCATCCAATACCCTTTTGTGGGCCCACTGACAGAGTTGGTGCACAGTTGTCCAAGTGTGGCTGCAACATGGGTCCGTGTGTGTGTGTCAAGCACCCTCAAGTCATCCCTGACTTAAGGCAACCCCTCCCTGTTCAGGATGCAAAGTCATGCCTGACCCATCACGACCAGGCTCTCCTGTCCTGGATACAAAGTGTTTGGCATAATCGGCACGGAGGCAGGACGCAGGCACAGCCACAAGGCATCGTCCTGAATAAGTGACGGGAGTCCTGCATTAAGCTCTCTGTACTCTGTGCACCTTGAACAAGGCACGGAAGGGTGTGCCGGCAGCAGGGCGCCGCTGCTGGGAGGGCTAGCTTTTGCACCACTCTCTGGCGACATGACTGGCCTGGGAACAACCGATAAGGACGTGGGTGGTGCTGGGAATGGGGTGGGATCTGGATGCCGCCTCCCCCTTGCTCAGAGCATGTGGGGCTCGACCAGTGCCTTGCCCTCTCCCCGAGGGACTTTTGCTTGGTGGCTGTGACAAGCCAGTCACGGAGCAATGCCACATGGGCTTCCTCTGCCTTGCATGGGCTTCCTTCCACCCTGATGTGTCAGGCTGCAACACCAGCATGCCCCCCACCTGCCGGGGATGGGGATGATGGAGTTGTAGTCAGACAGAGGGTAAACAACGGGGCAAGGCTGTGTCTCAGAGGGGGGATCGTGTCTCCTGCATGTTGCTAGGATGATGAGGGGATGAAGCCCTGAAGACTGACTGGGTGTGGGAGTGGACAGCCCTTTTCTCGCCGAGGTTTTCCTGGGCACGCAGAGGCCTCGCGTCAGCCACTAGAGGGCAGCGTCTGCCGGAGCAGCACTGCTGCTGCGCCCTGGCTTGGACCAGGCTGAGCATCAGTGCCGGGGGAGCATCCGTCCTTTTGCATCCTGCATCTGCGGTCGATTCTCCTCCTCCTCCTCCTCCTCTTTTGCCGGGCCAAGTGGGGGACCTGTCGGATGGATGGCTACCCGCTACTTCCTGGGTGGAACCATGAAGCAGATTTGCTTCTGCGCTGCCTCCTCCTTCGTGGTATGTCTCTCTCTGCCCCCCACCCCGCTGCCTCCCAGGCTCACCTGCTGGGCACCCATCTGCTGCTCTCTTCCTCCCTCCCCCTCCTCCCTGAAATGCCCTGTTGCTTGACCTCCTGTAATGCACCCGCCTTGGTCTGTTCTTATTGTATTCTTATGAGAGGTCCCCAGGATTAGCTCCTCTCCTTGCCTGCCTCCCCAGGATTTACATAGAGTGGTTGCTGTGTGTGGGGTTGAGTGCACTCTGTATATGCCCCAGGAGAGGCAGGTGTTCCTCTGTGGTTGTGCTCTGTAGCAATGCAGCCTTCCCAGGAAAAGATGAAAGGAGAAAAGGCAAAGGGCTGCAGAAAGCATTGAATCTAAGAATTTGATCCTCCTGGGAGAAGAACTGCCTTGATGGCACATCACAGTTCTGAGTGACCCTTGCGTGTCATGGGGGGGAAAGGAGGATTGTTTTCATCCATCCCACCATGGGATGGTTTCTGGCGATGTAGTATTCTTTGCTTTTTCATATCTCTATCACACCTTTTTCCTCCTGAAAGCAACCCAAGGTGGGTTACATAACTATTCCCCATTTATCCTCACAACAGCCCTGTGAGGTAGGCATGGCCGAGAGTGAACGGCTGCCCCCAGAGTCACCCACAATGCTTTGTGGCTGAGCAGGGATGAGAACCAGACCTCCCAAGTCCTGGCCCAACACTTGGCCCACTGTGCCACTCCAGCTGTTCCTTATGGCACTTGTGCCTGTTTCTGCCCAGCCATTCCACTGAGTGGGTGTGCACTTTCCTCATTACCACCAGCGCTGATTTATCCTCACAGCAACCCTGCAAGGCAGACTAGGGCATGGGCAAGTGACTGGCCCAAGGCTCATGGGGTGGGTGGGGGGGCGCAATCTCCCAAGTTCAGCTGATCGCAGTCCTGCGTCCTCCCAGGCAGGCCTTGAAAATTGACTGAGGCAGGGCCCTGCAGGTGCAACCTGGCTCTTTTGTGGGTCCCTCCTGCCCTCACAGAAGCTCCTGCCCCGGGAAGCAGCACATTTTGCAGAGGGATGCTGATGTGGGGCTGGAGAGGCAGTTGCAAATAGAAATACCCCCAGCTGGAATTGCAGTTCTTCCATGAGCTCACTGAGTGGCCAGCTGTTCAGCCCCAGCCCCTCCCTCTGCAGTACTGTGTCAGGTCTACCTTGCAAGGTTACTGTGAAGATTTGTGGAACACAGGAGGTGAATTACCATGAGTGTCCAAACTCCTGTCGGGAGAGGAAGGGGTTGTGTGTTGCAACCTTCCCTTACCTATTGCATCTTGTGAGCACCCTTACCTACTTTACCGAGGGTAGGCCTGTAACTTATGTTGTTACTTAAATTTAATCCCATTCTTCAGACCCCACTCCCACCAATCCTTCTGGAGCAGCTTGCAATCAATTAGTAAACAGCACACTTCTTACCCCATAGCCTTCCACAGGACATGACATGAAAGGACAGAGGGAAGGGCAGGGCAGAGGAAAAATAAAGATTGATAGCAGGGCTGGTGCAATGGCCCCACTTCCAGTCAAAATTTGGGGTGATGTGGTGGTGAAGTAGTTGCTAGACCTTCTCCTGTTTCCCTCACTCCTTTTCTGTTTCAAGGTAACCTTAGTTTGAAGGGCTCTCTACTTAAAGATGGAGAAGCCCAAGAAGGGACCTTAGAGTTGCTCATTTACATTGAGTAGACCATAATATGCATATACTGACATATGCAAATGAAAAGAAATCCACATCTTCTGTCTGCAGTACCTCGCCTCTTTTTTGGTAAGGTATGAGGAGCCAGCCTGCTCCCCACCCCCTCCAGTTTTCTGGAAGTGGGTAGCCCCAATGTGGGGAAGATATTGAGTGGGGAAGGAAACCCGGGGCTTGCCCTCAGTCCGGCACCCTCTTCCTGCAGCTTCACCTGACAGGATCCTCTTGGTTTGGCCTCTGGCAGCTGACCTTTTCAGCCCCGGCCTAGGAGATTTCAGGGGCGCAGCAGCCTCCCTTTGCAGTGAAGTCTCGGGGCCCAGGGGCTGGCTGTCAGCCAGGCAGAGCTGTCCACTCTCACTGGCCTTATAACTATGACTTTTGCCTTTCAGCCATGCCTGTTAAGCTATACCCAGGGCTGCTGCAGCTGTCTTTGTGCTTTAAAGAAACAGAAACTTAAGTATCATGTTCATGGAGAGATGTGTCTCTAGGCATGTGCAGAGTGCCCCCCCCCCCACAACCTGGGTCTTACATTTAGGGGTTTTTCCTGGATGGATCAGCAAGGCTCCCACACAGGGGCATCACCTCCCTTTGTAAAAGGTTACCACATGCCCCACCCCTGTGGTTTCCACTCTGCCTCAGTTTCACTGCTTCCTTGAATCCCAGCCTGGGCTTCCTTTCTAGTTACTTTTAGAAGCAGCTGGAAAGGGCATCTTGTCTACCACAAGACGTATGGAGTGCCTTTACACTGCCACCAAGTCCCAGGCATACTTCCCCCACCCATGCTGGGACGAAGGCGCTTCCTGCACAAATGCTGGCCACTGAGTTGGCACCCCAGGCACCAGTCACTCGACCAAAGGCAGGGAAATTAGGGAGTGCAGAGCCCCTTTCTTGCAGGGGGACGAGCACGGCTGCGAGTTCAAGCAAGTCCCTCTGCTGCCCAAAGCAGAGCAAGGAGAAGCCAGTTAAACAAGCAGAGCTGGCATCTTCTTAAGCCGGCTTTCTGTTTGTATTTCACAGCTTAATCCTCCAAGCATCTTTGTGCAGAGGGGGGCTGTGAGCAGAACAAAATTTAGCCCACTTTTGCTTCTGAAGAAGCATGCTCTGGGAGGTGGAGTTGAGGATAAACAGGTTTTTCTCCCAAGATGTTTGGCTGGTGTAGTCCCCACTCAGCTGTGATGCTCACTGGGGGACTTTGGGCCGGTCCAAGACTCTCAGCCCAAGCTACCTCACAGGGCTGTTGCGAGGATGAGATTGAGAGGAGGAGACAAATGATGTGAGCTGTCTTGAGTTCCTTGGAAGGAAAAAGGTGGGATAGAAATATAATAAATGGAGTGATGGGAACAGTGAATAGCTCTAGCCGGCCAAGAGGGAAAGGCATTCACAACAGACCTCCAGGCGAAGTCACAGCCTGGCTGTCCTAGTTTGGTCCACAGACCCCCGCCCTGGAAATGCCACCCGATTTGCTGAACAGGGGGAAACCCAACAGTCGTGTGCATTTAAGAGGTCGGGGTGGGTTTCACAACAGCTCTGTGAAGGCTTCTGGAAGCATGTCTGGTTTTGACCTCTCTTTTTGTGCCTGGGATCCAGGGTGGTCCCCACACCCCGGGATCCAGGACTCAGGCCCAGAGCGTGGTCTGGAGGCACCTGGCCTCCCCCATGTTGAAGCGAAGCACCTCTGGGGTTGGACTGAACTCAGATGGGAGGTCCCCTGGGAATGGCCTGTGGCCTCCTTGAGATCCACCATGGAAGGAAGGGGATATAAGTATAATAAATAACAAAAAATAGGAAAAATCTATGCACTACTTTGCAGGTCCTCTAAAGTCCCTGTGGGTGTTTTTATAGGGTTTTATAGGGTCCTGTCTCTTAACAGTATGGCAGTCTGTAAAAAGGGATGCATGGGGAGGGCAGGGGAGGGAAATTTGGTTGTTCAGGGCATGTGGCTTCAGGAAGAAACCCAGGCAGAAGGAGGGGAAGCACCTGTGGTTCAAAAGCCAGCCAACCCTGGGGATCAGATGCCACGAAGGCTATCCGGGTCCCTGGAGCTCTCTTTCAGCCCCACCTTTCCTTGCAGGGTGCTGGGGCAGAGGGCCTCCCAGAAACTCCGAGCCCCAGTGAAGGACACAGCCTTGGTTTTGTCTGTCTTTTTTACCTAAAGTGGCAACAGTGTTTGAAACTCAGAAGGCCTGCGTGAGGAGAGCTCTTGCTGTTCGGGATTAACTGTCACTGCGGCAGCCAGGTGAAGCCTGGAGAATATTCACTCCAGCCCAGGAAGGGATTATTCCAGATCTAGGGCAGGGGAGGAAGAGCACACCACAAGGCCGAGATGTGTGCTTTACTTTTCTGTGAACTCATCTGGGGCTGAGTCTTAGGTTGGGGGCGAAGTGGCGCACTGCCAGAGAACTCTGCTTCCTGCACAACCAGGTGGCAGTAGGAAAGGACGTTCCAAAGTAAACACGGAAGGGGGACCATTTACATCCCTGCGCTTATAGGTTCCACTCTGATCTCCTTCACTCATATGGAGGGATACCTTTGAGGTGAGGTCATCTAGTCCACCCCTGCTCGATGCAGGGTTTCAATGGATGGCCTCTTGGCCTATGTTCAAACCCCTCCCACAAGGAGATCCCCAGGCAGCCTTCTGCCACCTGGAGCCTTAGAGGTGCTACACTACAACTCCCAGCAGCCAGCAGAGAAGTGGTTTAGCTGTGGCTACTGTCAGGAAGTTTTCCTAATGTTTAGCCAAAATCTGCAGCAACCACACCTGGCTTCAAGTCCTGCCCACTGAAGCAACCGAGATGAGCTTCCATCTTCTGAGACAGCCCTTTGGTTAATTTGAAAGCAGGGATCCTATTTCCATCTTGTTTTCATTTCCCTAGGATCACACCTATTTGGCTGAAAATCAATTTATTAAATAAGGCACTTGGGCAGTTCTTCCTGCAAGTGCAGAGCCCCTGGAGGCAAAATATTCCTCTATTTCAGAAAATGATAAGCTTCCTGGACGAGGAAATGTAGCTTCCTGCATTCTGGCGCAAAGGCTGCAATTTCTCAGAGAATGTGGCCATCCTGTTTCAGAGCCGCATGCGTAATTGAGCTGGTTAGAAATGCAATCAGTCAACCAATCAATCACCAGAGTGGCGTGACTCAAACCCAAGAGGAAGGTGCAGGAAGGCTTGGGGGAGTCTCCATGTTCTCAAAAGGACGAAAAATCTTTTGGTGGGGGAACCTTTCTGAACAGCCCAACTCTGTCTTCTTAATCCAGCGTCTTTGTTATATTGAAGCCCTTCTTTTCCTGCAAAAAGCCTGAGGGGACTTCTCTGTATCCTCACAACAACCTTGCAAGTGGGTTGGAGTGCGTGTCAGCAACTGGCCTGACTGGGGACTAGACCTTGGGCCTCCCAAGTCCCACGCGTCCTCAGGACACCGTGCTGGCTCTCCAGGAGGAATTATGTTGCCTGATGAACATGGAATGCCAGCTCCCTGGGGGAGTGGAATGGAATTTTGTGGAAAGAGGGCATGTGCTAGCAGCATGGCAGAAGCTTCCATCTGGGTTTTCTTTTTAATTCCACATTAAATATATGGTATTAAAGGTGACTTTATGCCAACCTTCCAGAACACTGGAGAGCCAGTGCGGTGTCGTGGTTAAGAGCGTGGGACTGGGACTCAGAGGATCTGGGTTCTAGTTGCCGCTCAGCCATGGAGCCAACTGGGTGGCTTTGGACCAGTCACAGACTCTCAGCCCAACCTACCTCACAGGGTTGTTGTTGTGGGGATGAGATGGAGGAGGAGAGTGATGTAAGCTGCCTTGAGCTCTTTGTAGGAAAAAGGCAGGATAGAAATCGTAATATAAATAAATAAAATCTGATGTTCTGCAGGTATCTTGTTCTGCAGGAGTCTTGCACTACTGAGTGGCTGGCTGGGAGAAGCTGGGAGGTGTAACTCGCATCACAGAAGGCCGCGTTACCTAGCCTTTTCACTGGAAGTCTCCAACCAGCCTCCCACCCGACACGCAGGCTTTTCACTGGTGTGAAGACATTTCTGAGTTTGCACAGTGTTCCCCCATATGTGGGTATGCTTGGAAAATGTGCACAACTACACTTATGTTGACGGGTGTTTGTACTCCGCCTGATAAAGTACACTTATTCTTCCAGTCTCCATAGCTCCCAACAGGTGAAGCTTTCTGGGCCGTTAAAAGGCATCCCTGGACGGGGATATGGGCTGATTTCTGTGAGTGTGTGTTGGCGTAAGAGAGGTCTCTACAAACACTCCTTGCAGAACGAGCTCAGGACTTCCTGGGCTGCCACTTCTTGCTTTCTGCCACAACCCTCTCTAGGCCTGGTTGCCCCATGAGGGTGAGACAGGCTCTGTTTTTATCTTAAACAAGAGACTCCATTTCCATATCTGCGCCTATTTATATGAACTGCCATTTTCAACATCTTGCAGATCAGTATCCATATTCATTCTCCCTGCAGCTGTTGTGTTGGTAGCCACCTTTGGCATTGCTGCTCTACAGGCTGATCACCTCCGGATCAGGACCCCAAAGTGGGAACCAATACAATAATAATTTTAAAGTACTTTTAAATTTTGGTTTTATGTCCTCTGCTGCTTTTCAGAGCCAGGATTGGAGCAAGAATGACGAGAAACTGCTTCAGGCCGTGGAGTACAATGACGCCAATCGTGTCTCCTCCCTCCTTCTCCGGAAGGGCCTCGTCTCCACCAAACTGGACTCAGAGGGGAAATCGGCGTCAGTCCTTTTCTTTATTTAAGTGATTCCCTGGCGCTGTTCTCAGTGGACCTTTTGGGTGTTTCTGTGCGAGAAGACCCACTGTAGCGCTGTGCCCACCCCAGGCGCCTGCCACCTCCTGGGCAGCTGTGCCTCCAGCTCCTTCAGCTGGCCGGCCGGCCTCGAGAGTCTGCCCTTGCCTCCACATGCCCTTGACACTGGTCCTGGCAGGAGCTGGTGGGACCAGTGGCTAGACTCCGCGCTGCTGCTGCTGCTCCTCATTGCTGTGGCCGTTCGCTTGTTTGCCATCCTCTTGCTGCAGCCCTGAGAGGGGCAGTGGCGAGAAGCAGGGGTTGTGCCTGGTCCCCTGCTTGCCAGGCAGGCAGGCGGCAGCCATTAGGAGGAGCAGCAGGACCCTGGTCACAGGAAGGGGGCTCAGTGGGGGAGGGGGCCAGTGGAGGAAGGCTTGCCTAGGGATCCCCCACATGCCGCTGGGCCCACCTGCAGCCAGGCCTCCCTGGGGAGGTGGGTGAGTCTTCCTGTGGGAAGCCACTCTGCTTTTCTCTCTGCACTTGCCACAACAATGGGCTGGCTTGGGTGCCGCATTCTCAGGATGCCCTGGAGATGTCCTCAGAGCTGCTAGCAAGGCAGGAAAGTGGACAGCAGGTAGCCTGGACTGGCGGGGGGCGGGGGGCTGCATGTCTGTGTGCTTGGCCCCAGGTCCCAGAAACATGCTGTGCTCCCAGGGGACTTCAGATTTGTCAGAAACATTGCATTTTCTGTGATGGGGGTCCTAGGATGTGCCCCCGCCCCACAGTGTCCAGAGGTGAAAGGCCTACATCCGGGGACTGGAAACCTTTCCTCCACCCACCTGTTCCAAAGCACGTGTTCTGGGTGTTGGGGTGGGGGGAGGCAGTGGTGGAGGGGTTTCCTCAAATGTCCTGCACGTGGACTTCCTGGCAGCCCTTGGGAGGATTGTGAGAGGGCAGTCCATGCAGGGCACCAAACCAGAACTTGCACGTGAGACCCCCTGGCCTTTTTGGCAACACTGGTGCCAGGGCGGCCTGCCCTGTCTCAGCCTGGGTGGGAGCCTGAGCTGGAGCGTCATCAGGCAGCCTTCTTGCTCCAGGGGTGGGGAAGCATTTTGGTGCCTAGCACTGCATTCCCACAGGGGATATGCTGCTGGGAGTCTGCCGGCCATGCTCCGCAGGCCACAAGTCAAGGCAGCAAGGGCCGTCCCTTCTCTGTCTCCCCCATGCATCTTTGTCCATATCTCTCCTCCCTTTTGCTGCCTCATTTTCTCTCTGCCATCCCCTCTCTTCTGTCTGTGCCAGCTCCTTCTCTCTCGCTCTCTCTGCACCCCCCTTTTCTCTCTCCACTGCTTCCTCCTCTTTTTCTCTGCCACTGCTTTCTCACATGCCCTGCCTTTTTTCTCAGCCACCTTCTCCTCTCTACTGTCAGAATCCATCCATCCCATGCTCAGTCTGATCTTGCAAAGCAAAAAAGAAGCCTTGAACTCCCTCGGAGTTCCTGTTACGCTCCTTGCACGGCACATCTGCTTGATTCTTGGTGAGCACCCCAGGAATGCTGGGCATGCTCCCCAGGCACGCGGATCTGGGCTGCTGGAAAGTGGACTGCAGTCCACAGAGTGGAGCCCAGGCAATCTGATGGATTCCCACCCCCAAACAGGTTCCTCACTCACTGGCCTGGAATCAGGTGGAGGCTTCAGGCAGGCCACCTGCTTATTTGGAACTTCTTCTTGGAACTATTGTTAATCTGCCCCTGGGGGTCGTGAATTGACAGGGAGTTTTGGTTTATCCCACAGATTCCACCTGGCTGCAACGAGAGGAAATGTGGATTGCCTGGAGGTGATGCTGGCACACGGGGCGGATGCCATGACAGCCGATGGATCAGGTGGGCAAGTCCCGGGACCCGCAGCCCCCACCTTTTCCTTGGTGAATTTGTCTAACCAGGAGTCGTCAACTCTGATCAACTCCCATCCGCATAGCCAATGACGAAGGGGGTTTGTAGTCCAGCCGCATCTAGGAGGGGACATGCCTTGCCCCATCCCTGGCAGCAAGAGTCCTGAATGCCATGGGACTTGCAAGCAGTCCTGCCTAGGATTGCACTGACAGTCTTGGAGGAGGGAGGGGGCAGAGGGCCCCCCTTGATAAGAAGGCAGCAAGGTCACATTCCCTAGAGTGTTCCCAGGGTGCAATGCAACCTCCCTTCAATTCTCCAAACAGCAGCAGTAAAAGTGCAAGCAAAAAGATCTGTTAGGGGTGCATGGAGATGAAAATGATGCAGTTCTCTATTAAGGTGAATTGCTAGCACAACCCCTCCAAACAGCGGCAACAACAACCAAGTGTTCATCAGGCAAACATCTGTACAAAATACATGCATCAGGCGAACATCGAGAAAATGTTCTCCAAGCTGTGCACAAACGTTGCACAGACTTCTATTTTAAAGTAGTAAACTGGTTCAACAACATGAGCTTCATTTCTGCAACAGAAGTAGGGCTCACAGGGATGCAACACAGGGACTTCTTAATTGGCCGGATCACCCCTGCCCCCCAGAATGCCCTGCTCCCTCTGAACTTCAGTCCAACTTTCACAGGGATGGTGGGCAGCATCCCTCTTCTGAGCAACAGTGTAATGACCCCGTTGTAAAGCAAAACACTTTAGGGAGATGTTGCCTTGAATAAGTGGTTTGGTCCCACTCACTTGATACAAGAGCTCGCTCTGATGGAGGTGAGCACTGCTGGAACGGGTCTGCTGCTGTGGAGCAGCACCACCACCTGGAGTTTTGGGCTGGCCTTGGGTCACAATGAATTTCTCCATTTCCAAACACTGGGGAAAGGGTGCATTTAAGGGAGCAGGGATGAGAAACCCGGAAAATGTGCAGTTGCCAACACTGAAACCAAGTGACCTCTTGTGCCTCTTCTCTTGGCCCCTTCTGCCACAGGGTATGCGGCGTTGCACCTGTCCGCCAAGCATGGCCACCCCCAGTGCGTAAGCAAGTTGCTGCAGGTAATGGTCCTCCGTCTGGAAGCGCAGTGAGTGTCCAGCTGCCCAGGTGGCTGCCCCCTGCCAAGGGCCAAACACAGGCGATGTGCCTCCTCAGAAGCCCCTGAGGAGCAGTCAGGTGCAGTGGTTAGATCGAGGTCTAGTCACCACTCAGCCGTGAAGTGGCTTCGGGAAGCTTTGGGCTGGTTCTGGAGTCTCGGCCCACCCGCTCAGGGCTGCAATGAAGAGGACCACAGCGAGGATAGCTGTGTGTGCTCCTTGGAGGAAAAAGGATGACTCTGAATCCTGCTCCATATGCAACCGCAGACCCAGCCCATGGCTCTTCTGGCTTTGGACTCAAGAATGTACCAGTGACCACTTGGTGCTCGGTAGCCACAGAGATGTGTGGATATTGCAACATCTGTTCCACCTGTGCAAGATGCATCTCAGATTCTGAGATGCATCTTGGAGCCTCAGCTGCTCATGGACGGAATCAGATCCTGTGCAAGTGTGTTGGACACATCTGCACAACATGGCCTGTTCTGCCTAAAGGAACCCTTTTGTGCTTTAGCCAATGAGAGAAATGCGTGTCTTTGGTTGGTGTTACAGAATCACAAAAGTAATTAAAAATGCTCCGCAAGGCTCTATAGCACATGAAAAGCTTGCCTTGTGCAGTCTGCAGGTAGTATTCTTAGAAATTCGAATTCATTTTGAGCCCAGTGCAGACCCTGATATCTTTTCCTGCTCTCCTTCCTGCTTACATTTCTTCCACCCTCAACTAACACAAATTCAGATTCTGAGGTTCAGATTTTCAGTTTGGGAAAGAAAATGCATCCAAATTCATTCTGTGTATTTTCACTTGAACCCAAGTCCTAGTGTATTTGATTGGGTTTACTCTTGAGTAAGGGTGCACATAAGACAGAAGACTTTGCTCTTATATCATTTCTTCCTGGTTCATAATACCAACCTCAGAGACTGTTCTCGGTGCCCCTTTGCCTACAAAGAGAGAGCCCATTTCGTGGTCTGCTTGTGAAGCATCCAGAGAGGCTCAGATTGTGCCTAGCTTGGAATCTTTGTGACTTTGTTTCGAGATATTTGCAATTCCCTTGGCTTTTGTTTTGATTTAAAATGTGTTAATGTTCTGATGTTAAGGCTTTAAAATTACACAATTGCATTTTGTGGCTTTAAGTCTGGATCTGTGAACTGCCCAGCAAGCTGTGGCTATTGGGTAGCATAGACACAGGATCACAGAGCCAGGGATCCCATGCAAGATAGGAAGGAAGACCAACTGCTTTCTCCTCTCCCAGGCTTCCTGCCCCGTTGATGTGGTGGACAGCCATGGACGGACAGCGCTGCACCATGCAGGTCAGCCCTGGTGAATCTGCACACCCCCTGGAGCAGGTTTTTGCACTGAAAGGGCCACAGGCAACAGACTCAAATGCATCTGGACTAAGTCCATCAGGGTAGCTCTCCAGGCCATGCTGAGTCCATGGGGCTGGTGGACCAGTTTTTAAAATGCATGTTTGCAAAAGGTAGCCATAGAAAAATGTTGAAAATACAAGGCATGATCAAAAACATGCAGATAGCTGACAGTAAAGCATGAAAATGTGCATTGTAGGGGAATTTGCACATTTTTGGGACCATGACCTCGAGCAACTCTGAATTTGTGTAAAAGTACTTGAACACATTCCTGCAAATTCTGAGATTGCAAATCAGCAGATGGCAGAGAGAAAGGCACCCAGAAGTCCACCAGTGATGGGTGCAGTCGCTTTCTTTCTCTTTGCAGCTTCCTGGCCAGGGCTCGAGAGTTTCAGGGCTGCCAACTAGGGGCCAGGTGGCACCTCTCCCTGCTCAGGGACCCACGCTTGAAATACTTGTGAGGCTTCGGCCCAGCCCATGCTGGGGGTCTCCAACCCCCGGCAGACAGCTGATAGTTGCAGCTCCGTCTACTCAAGAGAAGGAGAAACACTGGCAGGCCACCGCCTGGATCCGGGCCTGGTGGAGAGCTCTGTCTGAACTGTGCTCCGCTGAAGCATTGTCCCGAGCTGGGAGGGGGTTGGGGGCTGGCTGCTAACTGGGCATCACCTCTGCACATTCCTGCCCTGTACCGTGTTGTCAGGCAGGCTGACTGTGTGGTCAGGAGGAGGGTGGCCCTGTGCGGCAAGGTGTGTCCCACAGTGCAGGTGAGCAACAGTCGCACCGCAAGCCTTTGCGCGAGGCATGGGACCAGGCTGGCACAGAACCTCCCTGCTCTGGGGTTCTAAGACAGACCTGCATATTTTTGTGAGTCAAGGGATAGCACTGCCCCCCATGCAAGCAGCCGGGGCTGTGCAGCAGGGACGGCGGGCAGCGGCAAAGCCCTGAGGCCTCCTGTGGCCCCACAGAAGCCCACGCTACTGATCAACTTGGAGGCGACCCTTCCTGCCTTTGCTAAATGCCTGCAGGGCTTCACATGCTGTTCGCCCCTGCGCAGCTGCAGCCCTGTGGCCGACTCTGCCTTGCCCAAAGCCCCAGTATGGCCTTCGGGAGCTTGGCCGGCCTGCAGTTGGCTTCACCGAAGCTAAAATATGTGGGGAGATTCAGAAGTGTAGGCCTGCCCCCTGCAGGAGTGCAGCCCCTGGGCCTCCCTTGGGGGGGGAACTGGGCCCTTGGTCTGCGAGTCATTCCCCAGCTCTGCCCAACTGCGATGAGATCCTTTCTCCTCCCTTTCCAGCTGTCAGTGGGTGCATCTCTTGCTTGGAAATCCTCTGCGATTCCAAGGCTCCCTTGAACATCACGGACCAGGTAAGACAAGAGCTGCCTGACAACTCAGAGCTGGTTTTTCTCGCAGACTGTCCAGCCTCTGATTAAGCAGGGCCAGGCGTGCTTTGCCCTTCCCTGTGGCCACCAAGAAGCCCCTGAAAGGGATGCTGCAGGCAAAATACTTCTTTCTTGGTTTCCATTTAGAACTAGGTTTCTAGCCCTTATGATTTGTAGGAGCCCATGGAAATGTTTGGTGCACACTGGTGCTGACTTAGTTCCATGGAGCCCCCTTCATCCTGCATCTAGAGAATGGGAGTCTACATGTTTTTTTAGAATAATGTCAGAAGAGCTGTGCTGGATCAGACTGAAAGCTGATGGATCCGAAGTCAGTGAGGTGGGGTATCCACTTCAGTCTGAATGCCAGAGGAGCCACCCATGATGCTGAACCTGAACCTATTTTAGGGACAGGGTTCACTGCCAAGAACTGCTCCTTCAACGTTTGGACTAAAACCTGGAGTGGGTACATGCCCCACGGACTTCGGAGGGACCAACTTTCAGTGGCCACTTGCACGGCATGAGTGTAAAAATACCTCCTTGCTTGAGTTTTCCCACAACAGGGATGCAGGAGCAGTGCATGTCTGATCCTAGAAGCAATAGGGGAGCCATTCTGATCCTCCATCATTTGTCTGTGAGCTCCCTTTTAAAATTGCCCAGGTTGGCAGCCAGCACAACATTGTCTGTAGCAAATTCTGCACTCCAGCTTGGTGCTTTGTAAAGAAACACGCAGTTTCATCTGGCCCGAGTCTCCCTCCATTCAGCTTCAGCAGATCATTTCAGGTTCTCGTCCTGTGCTTCCCTTTCTGTTTTTTTCCACACAGCCACAATGTCACACAATATCTGTCATTTCTCACAGTACTCACCTTCTTCAGAGCTGCAAACGAGACGGTCTCTTTGCACAGAGGACCAGCTCCAGTCCCTTGATCCCTTTGATTCCCCCAGATTTTTCCCCACTGAAATGCCTGGGGAAGCAAGATGTTCTTCACCTGCCTGTGGAAAGAGCACAGCATGGATGCCCAGTGAGCCACTCCTGGCAACTCATTCCACGTTTGGGGTGCCACAGCTGAAAAGGCCCTGTTCTTGGGAGCTATTCACTTCACTGCCTCCTCCAGGGGCTCCCATGGGAGGAAACAGTCTCTCAGGGAACCTGGCTCAAAGTTGTTTGGGGCTTTTAACATTAACACCAGCCCTTTGAAGTCTCCTGCTAGCTGGGGATCCCCTCTAGGTTTTGGAGTGGAGCATCCATCTAAGCTGGGGACAAGGCTTCTTTTAGCTCACAGGAATGGAAAAGCAGTTTAGAGTTATCTGGGCGAGGCTGGATTTTAGGGAAGGCCAGGAGTTTCTTGCTGGGAATAGCTAAAACCGGGGGCAGCCCTGGCAACAGTGAGCAAGGCAGAAATGACACAAGGTGTCTGTTCAAGGTCTGTGGGGTAGCCGTTTGGCTGCTGCTGCCAGAGCCTTGGTTACTTCTGTTTTTTATTGGTAAATCAAGCAAATATGATGCAACCCTAGACATCTCCTGTATTCCTTCATAGAGCTGCTACCCATTTGTGCAATTCTGCAACCTCTCCTTAACTGGGGAAGCATGGAAGGCACATAATGCAATGTGCAGAAATAGGACTATTAGTGCATGGGTTGGTGTAACTCTCAGATCCTAAGAACCAATTGATTGGTCCCAGTAGTTCCATTTGGAGTAAATAATATGGCAGCCAAAGTTCGGGTGTTTACCAGTTCTTTTCTGAGCTGGCTGGCTGACTTATACATTCATTCATTCATTCATTCATTCATTCATTCATTCATTTAGGGGACTACTATGCTGCCCCATTCACCGAAGCCTCAGGGCAGCTCACAAACCATAAATAAATAGAATACAATAAAACTATATAAATTAACAATATAAATTAAGTTGCCCTGGCCAAAGAATAAAATGAATAGATAATATTAACAATTAAAATACCATTTGAATAAAAAGGTCTTCGCCTGGCACCGAAAAACAAATAATGACGGCACCAGGCAGACTTCTCTGGGGAGCACATACCATAGATTGGGCGCCACCGCAGAGAAGGCCCTCCTCTGGGTACTTACCCTCCTAATTTCCTTCATGGAGGGTTCCCGGAGAAGGGCCTCTCCTGCTGATCTCAAGGGGTGGGTGGGCATATATGGACATAAGCGCTCCTTCAGGTAACCAGGACCCAAGCTGTTAAGGCCTTTATAGGTCATCACCACCACCTTGAATTGGGCCTGGACTTCAATGGGAAGCCAGTGAAGCTGATGGAGGACTGGAGTCATGTGAACATAACGCCCAGTCCCTGTCAGCAGCCTGGCAGCTCTATTTTGAACCAATTGAAGTATCCGGACCATCTTCAAGGGCAGCCCCACGTAGAGCACGTTACAGAAGTCAAGTCGGGAAGTCACCAACGCGTGTGTCACTGTCGCCAGGCAGTCATTCTCCAGGTAGGGGCACAGCTCCTTGCCACCACTGTCACCTGAGCTTCCAGTGAAAGCTCTGGGTTGAGGAGCACTCCCAAGCTGCGGACCTTGTCCCTAAGAGGGAGTGCAACCCCATTCAGGACTAGGTTCAATTCACCCTCCCCAAAGCCCAATCTGCCACCCAACAGGACCTCTGTCTTGTCCGGATTGAGCTTCAGTTTATTGGCCCTCATCCAGCCCATTACCTCGGCCAGGCACCAGTTCAGCACAGCCACTGCCTCACCTGGATTGGTGGAAAACGAGAGGTAGAGCTGGGTATCATCAGCGTACTGATGATTCCGCAGCCCACACCTCCTGATGACCTCTCCCAGCGGTTTCATGTAGATGTTGAACAGCAAAGGGGACAAAATGGACCCCTGCGGTACTCCATGGCATAGCTGCCATGGTGCAGAGCCATAGTCCCCCAGCACCACCTTCTGGAACCGGCCATTGAGATAGGAGCGGAACCACTGCAAAGCAGTGCCTCCGACCCCCAATCCCGCAAGCCTATCCAGAAGGATACCATGGTCGATGGTATCGAAAGCCGCTGAGAGGTCCAGAAGAACCAACAGGGACGCACTCCCCCTGTCCTTCTCCCTGCACAGGTCATCGTACAGGGCGACCAGGGCAGATTCAGTACCGTACCCGGGTCTGAAGCCGGACTGCAATGGGTCCAGATAATCAGTTTCATCCAAGAGTGCTTGGAGTTGTCCCGCCACCACCCGCTCCAACACCTTGCCCAGAAACGGGACGTTGTTCACTGGTCTATAATTAGTGGCCATCTCTGGATCCAGTGTTGCTTTCTTCAGGACCAGTCGGACTGCCGCCTCCTTTAAAGGGGCAGGCACCCGACCCTCCCTCAGAGAAGTGTTAACCACTTCCAAGATCCAGATCCAAATCCCATGCTTGGGGTTGTTTATTAGCCAAGATAGGCAAGGGTCCAATAGGCAAGTGGTGGGACGTACTCGTCCAAGCACCTTGTCCACATCATCAGGCCGCAATAACTGAAATTCATCCATTAATTTTGGACCAGACGGCGACATTGGTATCTCCCCAGAAGCCTCTGAATCACTAGTAGAGTCTAGCTTGTGACGAATCTGAACGATTTTCTCCCTGAAATGCTTGGCAAAGTCGTCACAGCGGGCCTTCGAGGGTGGAACCAGATCTTTCTTAGGGCCAGGATGGACCAGCCCTTGTACCACCCGAAAAAGCTCCACCGGATGGCATTTTGAGGAGGCAATGGAAACGGAGAAGAATTTCTTTTTCACTGCCCTCACTGCCACAGCATAGGCCCGATAATGGGCTCTTAAGTGTGTTCGGTGAGATTCATCCCACCTACACTCTAGCCGTCTCCTGGCCTGTTTCATCGCCTGCAATTCAGATGTATAACAAGGGGAAGAGTGGGCTCTGCCTGGCGGGAGAGGACACTTAGGAGCGATCGTGTCAACAGCCCTAGTCATCTCCCCATTCCATAGTTCGACCAGAGCCTCGACAGGAGCACCAGTCTTGTCAGCTGGAAACTCCCCCAGGGCCTTCAGGAATCCGTCTGGATCCATCCGGCTCCGGGGACAGACCCACAAAATTGGGTCTGCACCCTTACAGAGGGAGAGGCCGCTCTCGAGCACAAACCTCATGAGGAAGTGATCTGACCATGACAGGGGTGTCAGACATAAATTCCTCACCCTCAGACCACCCTCTTCCTGCCCCATCGAGAAAACCAGGTCCAGAGTGTGTCCACATTCATGGGTCGGGCCAATGACATGGGTCAGGCCAGTGTTGAGACAGCCCCATGGCCGTCATGGAGGCCATGAAGTCCTGAGCCGCCCCGGTCAGACCAGACTCAGCATGGAGATTGAAGTCCCCCAGGACCAACATCCTGGGGGTCCTCAACACCAGGTCCGAGACGATCTCTGTCAGCTCAGGCAGGGAGACTGTTGGGCAGAAGGGTGCACGGTACACCAACAGAATCCCCAATTTGTCTTGATCGCCCAACACCAAGTAGAGGCACTCCAGCCTTGGTCTCGAAGGGACTGGAAGTCCCGTGAGGGAGATGGAGGCTTGGTAAACCAAAGCGACCCCCCCTCCCCTCCCCTCCAGGCATGGACGGTGCTGAACCAGATACCCGGGCGGGCACATTTGAGAGGGGGCGACATCCAGCTTTTTAACTTTTTTCTGTTCTTCCAGACTGTTGCATAGGATGTTTTCTGGAGTTTTCCTTTGGACCATTGTTGGGAGAGGGAGATGACAAGTGCATGGTCAGAGCCAATGGACGGTGATCCCACTTTTCAGTGCCTTTCTTGCCTTGGCAGGATGGGGCAACCCCCTTGATGCTTGCAGCCAAGATGAGCCATTCTGAGCTCTGTCGTTACCTGCTGCATCGTGGAGCTGCTGTCAATGCTCAGGACCAGCAGGGCCGGTGAGGACTTTTTCTGTGAGGATCCTGGGTGGAGCAGAGTTGCAGGCCAACACGTCTAAAGGGGTTCAAGCTGCCCAGGCCAGGCTTAAGGCGCGATTCTGTGCAGGCCCAGATGGAGTAGGGTCCTGTCAGTGATTGGCCGGGGCATGTACAGGGTGCTGGGGCTTTTTTCTGACCCAGCCTGCCTAACCCCCTCCGCTGCTCCTGCATGCTTACGGCAAACCAGGGGATGCATTAGGCTCTGGGCCTCTGGGAAGACCGCTTAGAAGGCACTGGTGCATTGTAGTCTGGTCAGCCTTGCAGGGTTGTTCTTGGGATGAAAGGGAGAGGGGAGGGTTAGGACATCCATCTTGGGGGCCTTTGTAGCAGAAAGGCTTGATAGAAACAGAGAAATCCATGGAAGATCCAGGGTGGCTGAAGCTCTCGCCATGCTGTGAGCATTTTCACCCGCTTGCAGGAGCTCCTCTCCAAGCATAACTGGGCTTGTCTTTGTTTCAGAACAGCCCTGATGGTGGCTTGCGAGAACGGCAGTGTGGAGACTGTGGAGGTTCTCGTTCACGGCGGGGCACGGGTTGGCCTCATGGATGCCACGGGCCATGATGCGGCACACTACGGGGCAGCCACCGGCAATGCCCTTATCCAGCACTACCTGCAGGATGCGGCCCAGCGGCACTCTTGGGCCAGTGGTAAGGCACCCCATCCACCTCTCCTGGAGAAACGCTGGCTAATGGAGAAGGGAGGCTGTGCTAACTGTCCCCAGGTGACCTAGGAATCACAGGTGGTCCCTCACGCAGGGAGGAAGGAAGAGACGGGCAGGAAGAGGCTCCCTGTCATCACCAGCTTGGATGGCTTCCAAGGGGATTGGGCGGATCATGGGGTGTGGGGGAGTGCAGTTAACCACTGCAGGCTGTGGCCAACATTGGTGAGGTGCTTGACCAGGTGGTGGCCGGGCAGCTCCAGGCACTCTTGGAGGAAACGGATCATCTGGATCCATTTCAGTCCGGCTTCAGTCCGGTTTTGGCACAGAAATGCCTTGGTCGCACTGTGGGATGACCTTTGCCAGGGGAGAGACAGAGGGAACGCGCCCCTGTTGGTTCTCTTGGCACCCTCAGTGACGTTGGAAGCCATTGACCATGGTGTTCTACTGGAAAAGCTGGCTGGGCTTGGGGGCTGGAGGCACTGGTCTGCACTGGTTCCACTCCAGAAGGTGTCACGGGGGGATGGGACCTTGGCCCCATGGCTTTCATGGCACAGTGTGCTGCAGGGTCCTCCCTTCCCCCGTGCTGTTCTACAGCTGCATGGAACATCATCCGGAGGTTTGTGCTGAGGTGTCATCAACGCGCTGATGACCCTGAGCTCTGCCTCTCGTCTTCATCTGATCTGGGTAGGGCTTGGGGCCAGGCTTTCTGAAGGAATGCCTTGCTCCGTATATTCCTACCCAACCCTTAAGATCATCTGCTGAAGGTCTCTCAGGGAACTTCTTGAGGAGGGTAACAATTAGGGGAAGGGCCTTTTGGGTAGTGGCATGAGCCTCTAGAGCATGCTCCCCAGAGAAGTAGGCCCGGTGCCATCTTTGTTACCTTTTAGGCACCGGGTGAAAACCTTTTTATTGTCCAGTCATTTCAATTGTTGAGTCACATGGGACTGTTCTGATTCTTGAGTTTTATTATTGGCTGATCTACCAAGAGGTTAGTTAAAATAGCTGCAGTGGGTGGTAGCCAGCAAGCTCCATGGAAGAGGAGCAGCCAGTCTGGGAGTCTTGGCTACCGGGTCCCTGCAGGGGTGAACCCCCTTGGCAGTGCCCCACCAAGCCCATCCTGGTGTGGAGCCCAGGAGGAATGGCTTGCCCCAGGAAGGGTTTGAGGAAAGCTCAGTGGAGTGCGAGGCTTCCTGATCCACTCCACTCAAGGGCTGAGTGTTGGTTGTCATGGAACTGCTGGTGGTTGCATTATCCTGTGACCTGAACCCAGCTGCACTAACAAGCCATGGCTTGTTAATAACACACAACCCATTGACAGAACATGTGGTTTGTTGCTGGGTTGTTAACTATTATCTCAGAACCTTCAGGTTATGGGGCGGCATACAGAAATGAAACACATACATAAATAAATGTATCAGGATTGTTATCCCAGCTGGATTCAGACAATACTCAGGGTTCAGTGGCAACTCATGCTCAGTCTACACCCAGTGCCCATGTGCTGGTTATCATGTTGTCAGACGCCCAGCACTGGGTCTGGAGCTCTCCGAGGTCCTGCCATTTGGCCAGTCACCCAGCCAGTCCATGCCTACTCTTGTTGCGGGCAGCCTGATTTAATCTGTTCTTGGTGCCGCTCCGTCACCCTCTGTCCTTTCTGCTTTCTTTTGCAGAAGAGGAATCCACTGAAATTTCATCCCAGGTAACACCTGCAGCCCGCGATCGCCAGACATGCTCCTGTTTGGCATGAAAGGCCGGGAGGGCCTCTCACCAAGCCTACTTGATGCCTACTTTGGCACTGCTTTTCTTCCCCTGCATTCCCCCCAGGCATCCTCTCCCCGGCATTCTCTCACCAAGGGAAAAAACCAGAGCCCAAGGAAAAGGAAGGCCCCCCCACCGCCTGTGAGTACCTCCAACCAGGTAAGAGGGTGGATGAGATGTCCAGGTGACAGGCTGGGGAGCCACAAACTCTCCTCTTGCATCCTATTGAAGCAAAAGCACATTGGAAGAAGAGGCCTGGCTGTTTCATTCATTCATTAAATTTGTGAGAATTTATTTGTATAAATTTGTTTCATTATTTGCTGCAACCCCAAGGTAGGCCTTACCTGTGGTGGCACCCATCTTATCAATTCATGAAGGGTTACACTTATACTCTGTTTTTTCCCTTGTGTGAAGAACCTTAAGCTTCCTTCCTCTCCGTTTTATCCTTACAACAACTCCATGAGGGAGGTTAGACTGAAAGCTGGTGCCTGGCCCAAAGTCACCCAGTCTTCCCAAGTCCCAGGCCAGTGCTCTAACCACTGGCCACACTGGCTCTTCAAGCGGGCACCAAACTCTTGGGGTTGCTGTCCGGGAGAGCTGTGAGCCCTCCGGGCAGGTCCTCTCCTTGCAAGTCTGCTGGGGGCAGCAAATTGCTCAACTGGCGCACTTCCCTGTGCTGCTCCTCCCTCCTCATTTGAAGCCTAACTCAGGGGTTTCTAGTTCCCGGACCCTCCAGCTTCTTTTCTCCTCACATCTGCGCTGCCACCATTTCTCGTGGGTTATCCAAGTTACGTGTGGTCTTGAAGCCTCAAGGTCCCCATCCTCCTCGTCTGGGTCGAATCCTCTGACTTCTTGAGGTGCCTGGCTTAGCCCCAGTATCAGTGATCCAAAAGGCCCTTTCCAATTCCACTTTTCTGTTCCAGGATTCCCAGTATTCTAGGAGAGGAATACCAAGGGGAAGGGGAAGTTGCCCTTTGCCAGGCTGCACCCCTTGCGAATGGGCCTCGTGCAACCCCCTGCTTGTTGCAAGTCCATGCTCATTGCTCTCTGGGGCCTACGTTTTTTGCCCAGGGTGTCCTGGAACACGGCACAACTTGTGCAGAACGGAGCAGCCGGGTGATCACAGCCAAGCCCGCTCGGACACACCAGCACCCCATTCTGGCTGACGCGGTGAGGACCCTGGTGTTGGAGACAGGGCAGGTGCATGTGGGTGGAAATGGGCCTCTCCTCACTTTGGGCATGGACTTCCCTTCCCAGGATGATCGGGAAGCTTATGAAGAAATTGTCAGGCTGCGGCAAGAGAGGGCTCAGTTTCTGCAGAAGATCCGGAACCTGGAGCAGCAGCAGGAGAAGCGGAAGCAGGAGGTTAAGGGGCAACGGTTTTCCCATCTTGCATCATAGCATGGCCCCATGTGCTGATTACAGATCCCACATAGCAATGCTCAGGGCCTGTATCTGAGGGTTCATTCCCAGTGAGCCCCAGAATCTGGTTTTATGGTAGCTGCGGAGCATGGGAATTACTGGTAGGTGGGAGAGAGAACCTTGGAGGCAGAGGAGCACTGGCTCCGAATGGATGCTTGCAGTTCTTGCAAAACCTGACTTGGTTGCAGGGGTTTGCGGCTGGGAAAGGTTTGCTCCTATGCAGGTACGTGCTTCCACTGATGCTTGATACATCTCAGTTTAGAAATTAGACTCTGGCATGTGATTTCTCCAGGAGGGGTCCTGAACAAAGCATCTGTGGGCACCAAAGCACTTATGGGCAACTCCATTGATACCCATGGATGGGTCCCCATCATAGTTCCTGCAGACGCCCACTTTTCCTGCTTTTTTAACTGCTCTGTGCCAACAATTCTTTTTTTCCTTTCGTGTGTCTTTGCAGCTGGACTTGGAGGACAGCTCCCTGCACGTTCTGGAGAAACAGGTAAATCCCATCCTGGAATGAGAGGCCCTGAAGCCGTTTGAGGAGGTCTGAGGGAAGATGGAGCACAGCAAAAGCCAGACAAGCCAGGGGTCCTTTCTGCTATGAGCATCTTCCTGTGTTCCTCTTTGAATTTGAAACTTGACTGGAAACTTACTTGAGTTGTTGGCGAGAGGCAGTAGCTCAGTGGCGAAGCACCTGAGGCAACTGCAGCCAGGCCTGACTCGGAGAGGGCCGCTTCCTGTGGTCCTGCTCAGATCAGCCCTTGATGCAGAACCATGAGGACTGGAATCTTATTGATGCTGGGGAAAGGGCCAGAGCACAATGGCAGAGGATGAATTCTGCATGCAGAAGGCATTTGATTTGTGTCTCCAGGCTGGGCTAGGAAGGACCCTTGTCCGAAACCTTGGGAGAGATGCTGTCTCTCAGGGTAGATGACCCTGAGCTTTCGGCTTCACAGCAGGGCCCCTGGCCCCCGTCCTTTCACCACACACAGTGTGGTCTCCTCTGTTTCACCAGGTAGAAGAGCTTCAGAAGCAGCTGGTGGAGAAAACTGGTGAGAAAGAAGACCTGGGCAAGGAGCTGGAGGCCCTTCGGAGCCGCCTGTCATCTATTGAAGTACAGGAGGCAGGTCCCGGATGGGAGAGTTGAGGCTCCTCTGAGCTCAGTCTTGGTCTCGTTCACACTCAGTGGCTGGGCCAGGATTGGCAGGGGCCCTGTAGGTGCTGGCAGGGCCTCAGAGAGGCTGGGATCCTGAGGAGAGAGGCGGAAGAATCCACTGGGCCACAGGAAGTGGTGGGCAACCTCTGAGGCACTGCACCCCATGGCAGGATGAGCCGACCTCAGGGCCCCCAAATGGTTCTACGGGCCATGACTGGAGATGACCCCTCGGCCCCCGGGCCAGGGTGTATCCCACACTCTATTGCAGCAGCTTTGCAGAGGGGCTGGGCCCAATCCTTGCATGGAGCAGGGCCCTAGAGTGGGGCAGTGGCTGGACACCAGCCTGGAGCCTTCTGCTCTCTGCAGGAATCCCTTTCCAAGCTCCTGAAAGAAAAAGGAGTGCATGCACAGACCGGCAGGCCCGTGGCTACTCCTCTCAAAGCCTGCAGGCCTGTGGGGCTCCTGAGGCCCCCTTCGTAGCGCCTGCTTGTGGCCACCAGTCCCACCTGACCTTGTCTCTCCCTGCAAGCAGAATGAGAAGGATAATACCAGCTATGACATCGAAACACTGCAGGATGAAGAGGGAGCCCTGCTGGAGTTCCCAGGTAGGTCCCTGCCTGCTCTGCTTGTCTTTGCCAAGCCAGGCCCAGGCGAAGCCTCTGCAAAGCTGGGCAGTCATCATGCCGTGTCCCACATGGGGCAGGGGCACTCTGGAGCTTCTGTGAGTGGGCGCCCAGCAGCACGCAGGCCGGGCGTGGCTCCTTGCCCCCGTGAGGCCCTCTCAGTGGCTGGGATGCCACTTTGAGCCCTTTTCACCTTGTGGTCCCCACTGCCGAGTGAAGGGCGATTCACTTCCATGGCTGGTAAAGAGAGAATAGTTTGGCCACCCTCACACCACAAAGTGTGGCGTAGCGTGGGATCAAGTGGCCGTTTGGTGGCAAGGGAAGCAGGAAAATGCCATCTAAACGTTCACAGGCAGCCTGACGGCGACTGCTGGGGAAGAATCACCCTCCGCAGCGCAGCCTCTCAGTTGCCCACACCACATTGCCCTGCTCCCTGGGAGAGTTGCTCTTTTTTCCTGTACCAAGAGAGGAAGACATCCAGATGCTGTGGAATGCACATCCTCCACTCCCTGCTCCACCCGTCTGGGTGGAGATTCTGGAAACGCCCAGAAGCTGATTTTTGTCTTTGGACAGTCCGGGAATTGGTGTCTCCTGGCCCTGAGGTGGTTCCTTGAAGAGTCCCCATTGCTTGAGCACCTCTCGGTGCGCCTTGGGTTCTCACCCTTCTCGTGATGGTGTTTTCTGCCCTAATGGCAGCGCCTGGGTGATGTGGCATCCTGCCAAGATCTGGAGGGATTTTGGAAAGTCTTCCTCTTGTACCCGGGGAGGACGGAGTTGGGCTGGCCTGGCTGCGTGGGCCACGCCACGCTGACCATGAGACCCCTTTGCTCCCTTTGCTCTTAGCCAGCACCCTCGTTATGTGGCTTCCCTTCTACAGGAGCTGAGCTGCTGCTCTCCAGAAGGAGTCGCAGTGTCTCCACGGAGGAGCTCCTGGACACCCTGCAAGAGCAAGTTCAGTCTCTGACCCAGAAGAACAAAGATCTGACGGAGAAGATCCAGGTAAAGGGGAAGATGGTTTGTGAGCCACCCTGAGGCTTCGGCGAATGGAGCGGCATAGAAGTCCCCTAAATAAATAAATAAAATGGTGGGTGGGGTTGTGGGAGGCTTTCAACCTGCCACTTACTGAGGCTTCTGATCCCGTTTTCTTCTTGAAATTAAGAGTGTGTCCTTTACACATTTCCCCCAAAGGTTTTCTTTCTGTGCCTTTGTATATTGCATGGTCTAACCACAAGGGTGGTGCTATGTTAAAGATGTGATATGGTAGAAATGGGAAAATACATTAGCTTTTCATAGTTTGGAAATAGTTCCTGACCTCCTCCAGCTAAAAAAAACCCCCATGAAAATGGCTGCAAAACATGGGAGAAGCTCCGTTTCACACATGATTCCCCCCATCTTTCCTTCTAGATTTTCCACTAGGGGGTGCTGCAGTATATCAAAATTGCTCAAATTGGCTCCTTCCTTCCTTGGTGTTTATTCTGGCATTCGACTTTGGGTGGTCCCTTGGCCACTTCTGCGCGCCTGGCTCCTTCCTGGACTCTGTCTTGTGGCCTGCTCTGTCACCGGGGTCCTGGGGATGAGCCCTGGTTCCTGCCACCCACGCCCTGGATCCTGGACACCACGTTCCAAGGACTGCTCTTCCTTGAACGCCTCCAAGGCTGTTTCTGGTGTGCCTGTCTCCTTCTTCAGCTGAGGAGCCCAGAAGCAGACACAGTGACGCCTGGGCCAGCCCCATGGGCGGCTCTGGGGAAGTTCAGGCTGCAGCCTGGCATGGATACCCTGTGCCACCAACTGGGCAGCCTCTGCTGCTGATCCTCACTGGGGAAGGACTGCAGCCCAGGAGCATGGCCCCGACTTCCCTGCAGGCAGGCCTAGTTTGGACCTGGCCCTTCTTCAGGCAGGATGAGGAAGGACACCTTGGTTCTGGGCACCACCACCTGAGATAGGTGCAGACAAGCTGCAAAGTGTCTGGAGGAGGGCAACAAGGATGATCCGGGGACTGGAAACGAAGCCCCGTGGGGAGGGATTGAGAGAGCTGGGCATGTTCAGGCTCGAGAAGAGAAGACAGAGGAGATCGGTACCTCAAAGGCTGTCGCACAGAGGGAGGAGAGGATCTCTTCTTGATCACCCCTGAGCGCAGGGCACGGAATGATGGGCTCAGGTTCTGGCTGGAGGTCAGGAAGGACCTCCTGACTGTTAGAGCACTACGAGAGTGGAACCCGTGACCGAGGGAGCCAGTGGGCTCTCCCACCCTGGAAGCATTCGAGCAGTAGCTGTGCAGCCATTGGAGAGGGGTGCTTTAATGTGCTGCTGCATGCCCCCCCCCCCAACCTGCCATGCTCTGATCCTGCAATCCTCCACCATTCCCTAAGTGAGGCGATTTTGTGTGCCTCCTCACGGCCTTGGCAGGTGCTGCTCAAGAGCACTGCCAGCCCCAGGACATCACTTGCGCTTTCCAAGCCATGCTGCTGCTGCTTTTTCAGAATGAGGCAGAGGCGGACTGGACTAGAATAAGAAGTGTGGATAGTGCCATTTTGAAAATATAGAAAGGTGCTGTGGGGGAGCCTGTAAAGTGGCTCATTTTGATCCTGCAAAGAACCCAGAAGAAGGAGGGACTGCTGTCTCCCCCAGAGAACTTTGGCTATGGGGTGGCAGAGGCAATCACCAATAAAGCTGATGGAGGTCAGTGGCTTTCCTTTTTCTCTCCCCATCACCCCTCCATTTTCTGCAGGTCCTGGAGAATTATGAGAAGGACAAAACTGATGTGGAGGCTTCCGGGGACTTTGTCCCCCTCGTCCTGTATGACTCACTCAAGTCAGAGTTTGACAGGCTGAAGGAGCAGCATGCAGAAATGCAGGCAATCTTGAAGGCTCTTGCAGGTGATGGGACTGACGGAGCACCTGGGAAACTCATCCCAGCCACGGCCTCTGAGGAGCTGAAGATCGGATGCGAGGAGCAGCTCGGAGCCCTGAAAGCAGCATGGCAGAAGATCAGCTCCTCCATGGATCAGGGCAGTGGGGACCAAGAGGTGGAGGGCAATTCTGGACCGGGGACGGAAGAAGGAAGTGGTGCAGGCACAGAAGCAAGGGGAGTGGAGGTGGAGGAGCTGGCCAGGGAGCTGCACGTGACCCAGGAGCAGTACCAGGAGGCTCTGGCTGAGGTGCAGCTCCTCCAGGAGCAGATTGAGCTGGGCATCCTCTTGGTGGAGGACAAGGAGGTCGCCAAAGGTGCTGGAAGCGAGCTTGAGGCAGTGAAAACCGCCCTGCGCCAGGCTAGGAAGGACCTCAAGGAGCAAGACCAGAAGGTGAAGGACTTGGAGGGCCGGCTCAGGGCCCAGGAGGAGGCCGCCCTGCAAGGCTGCTCCAGTGAAGAGTGTGAGGAGAGGAAGTCCTCACTGGCCATCTCCTTGCATGAGGCCTGCAGGGAGAAGGAGGCCTTGCTGGGGAGGTGCACTTCCACGGAGGCAGAGATACAGAAGCTGAAGGAGTCTTTGGAGGAGAGAAACCGGGAGACTGAGAAGGCAGAAGGAAGTGCGTCAGAGAGCCGGGGGCTCCAGGAGGAGGCCACTGAGTTGCAGAGGCAGCTGGCGGCCGTGACGGAGCAGCGTGACGAGGCGAAGGCCCAGGTAGAGGTGCTCCGAGAGGGCCGCCGGAAGCTGGAGGAGGAGCTGGCCTCCCAGTATGTCTCCAGGCTGGAGCATGAGGACTGGGTGGGGAAGCTGAGGGCCTCCCTCATGGAAGCGGAGAGCAGCCGGGCTGCGCTGCAGGAGGAGTGCAACTCTGCCCAACGGGAGTTGGCAGAGTTACGGGAGGCTTCTGAGGGCTACCGACGGGAGTCGGTGCCCCTGGCAGAGCACACCCAGGCCAAGGAGGCCCTGGAGGGCACCCTCTGGGAGCTGAAGGCCAAGGCCAAGCTGCTGGAGCAGGACCTGAAGGCCAAGGCCCAGGAGGCATCTGGCCTCCGGGCGGAGCTGGACGGGGTCCGGCAGGGCGCCGTGTCCAAGGAGGCCCACGAGCAGCTGCGGGCCAGCCTGCAGGGTGAGGTGGAGGCCCTGAGCGGGAAGCTGACCGACCTGGGGCGCCAGCACGAGCGCACCTGCACAGAGGTCTTCCGGGTGCAGCGCGAGGCCCTCTTCATGAAGAGCGAGAAGCACGCAGCTGAGGCGCAGCTGGCGGCCGCGGAGAAGCAGCTGCAGAGCCTGCGGGCCGAGTTGGTGCGCGTCCGGGAGCTGCACAGCCACATCGAGGACTCGGCCAAGCTGGTCCAGGAGAAGGACAGGAAGGTGTGGGCGAGGCCCAAGGGCGGGAGGGTGGGGGGAGCCTGGAGGGGCCTCCCTCCGATCCACGGGTCCTGCCAACCGCAGGCTGACTGTTCTCTGCCAGCGTTTCTCTGCACGATCCTGTCTGCTGCGGCCCGGGAGGGCCTGGGAGCATGAAGATGTGGAAGTGGGGAGCCCTGTGCAGCCCAAGGACTAATTCAAGGGGGCTGCACTCCAGGGGTGGGTGGAGCTGCAAGCAGGGGGGGGTGCTTTTCCCCATCTAGATTGGGAATTTACCCCAAAGGTTTAAAGCTGCTGTCTGTTCGGAACCATGGAGGCCAGTGAAGGGAACAGCACCCACCTCAGCGAGGTGCTGAATCCATTTCAGGTGTTAGCCTGAACTTCTAAGGTGCTCTCTTCCCTGCGGAAATGCTGTCCCCCCCCCCTTCCCTTAAATGGTGAAGCCTGGAAGGGATGTACTTCCCCTACGATGACAGTGGAGCTGTGAAGCCCTGCTGCCTGGGGGGCTTTAGTTGGGTCACTGCTTATGGGGCGTCTTCTTTCTGTTCCCACTGGGCAGATCACTGAGCTCTCGAAAGAAGTCTTCAAGCTGAAGGAAGCTCTGAATGACCTTTCCGAGCTCTCTGGCGAGGCCTCCCCCAAAGCTGCCTCCCCGCAGAAAGCCGGGAGTGGCCAGGAGGCAGTGGCCCTTCGGGGCACAATCCAAGACCTGGAACAACGGCTGGCCGTGCGTACGGGGCAAGTGGGGAGGGACGGGGCTGGGGGAGTGACGGCCGAGGACCACCAGGAAGCCCACTGCGGGGCTGTGATCCCCGGGACACCCCCTGACATTTCCCACCTGCGGGTGCTGGCTTCTCCACTTTCAAGCCTTTCCCCAATCCTGAAATTGGGAAATGCCTCTGCTAAGTTTCCCTTGCTGGCAGGAAGTGTTTCAAGCTGCAGTGCATTGGCACTCAAGGGCCGCCTGTTTTCTGTCGGTTCCACTCACCCCCAGAAAGCAGACCCAGAAGGGGTTTGGGGTTCAGGTGGGCTCAAAGCATCATGGAAAGAAAGACATCCATTGGTCCCCCCTGAATCTGGTGAAATCCAGGCACTGTGTCATTGCAGAGCAATCTTTGGTGCCATCAGAAAGTAGCACAATGCACAGACCAAATCCCTGCAAATGTCGTCATCGCAGACTGTGTGCATACGGCTGCCCAAAGACTTTGCAATTAATCTTGGAGTTCTAGATTAATTTCTCATTCCTGAGTCAATGTTCACTTCAGTAATCTGGTTTTCTTGGAGTAATTATAAAGCAAGCTAACAGAGTTCGCCCTTGGTACTAAAATGTTTTCCTGTGGGCTGAGCTGAAACTTCCCAAAACAAATATTGTCAGTGTCAAAACAGAACCTGAGTTAGTCAAAACTTCCCCTCCTCTAATTCCTAGCTTTGAGGGCTCTGTTGGACATATGTTCCCTGCCCTTCCAGCCTTCAAGAAATCTGCTACTAGCATGACAATAACCAATTCAGATTGAGGGCAGTATTGACAAACTTGTGTACCCAGCTTGACTCCTGCCCCAGGGAAAATCACCCTGAAAGGGCCTCATTCTTCTGCATATACCTGCAATGCATCTCAGCAGAGTCTAGTGTTAATCTCCAGCACCCTCTTCTTCCTTCTGCAATGCACCCAAGGCAAACAGATCATTTTTTAGACATTTGAATATCTGGCATGTGGATCATGTGGGTTGTTACAGATAGGAAGTCTGCCAGCTGCAACAGTGGTTGGAATTTTTCCAGCCTCTGGTCCAAAGGGGAGAAAGGCTCTCCCCATCTTTGCAGCTCCAACATGGAGCCAAGGAAGCGTGGAGGATAATTTCTGTTCAGAGCAAAGGTGGATGCCTGACCCACGAGCTCAGTTTGTGCTAGGGCAGGTGCAGCAGGGGGTGGACCCCAAGCCCCTGATGCCTGGGGAAAATCTCTTTATGCCCCGTGTACTTTATCGGCTGGGCAGAACTTAGATGCTGAACAGACAAAGCCAGAAAATCTCGGAACTCTTCTTTCAGTGGCTGGTTTCCCTTTGGTTGCAGGAAGCTGAGCGACGCCACAGCAATATCGTCTCTCTCTACAGGGGACACCTTCTCTACGCAATCCAGGTGGGCCAGCATGGGTCTGGGGGGGTAGGGAGGGGGAGGCTGAGGTGCAGATGGGCATCTGGGGTGCCTGTAGAGGACACTCCCACAGGAACTTCCCCTGCATGAGTTCGCTTTGGAAAATGCTCCTTCCAGGACTTCCAAGGGGTTTGTGTGAACGAGCTTTCTGGGGACACTAACAGCTGTGGAGTGGGTGCAAACAGGTGTGTCTTGGAGGATGTGTGTGTGTCAGCATGCATGTGGCTTGCACTTCCACTTGGGCTTTTACAGGCTTCTTCTCTGTAAGATCCCAGCCAACTGCCAGGATGATATCCCTCTTTCCCACTTTCTTCTTGTTTCCTGATGCCATTTTTATCTGCCCTGCTGTCCCCACCAACTTCCCAGTACCTGTCCAAATGCAGCTTTCACTGGGGGATCAGTCAGTCCACTCACCTAGGCGGGAGGGAGGGAGGGGGGCAGGCCTGGCATGAGGCTTCCAGGGGACTGGAAGGTTGTGAGAAAAGGGAATTGTGGTTAGTTGGAAAATATTTAGAAAAGTTGGAATTATGTGGTGGAAAGTGAGACTCCAAATGATCCAGGTGCCAATTAGTCCTCATCTCACAGGCCTGGTTTACTTTGTTTTTGCCAGGGTCGCATGGATGAAGACATCCAAAAAATCCTGTTCCAGATTTTGAAGATGCAAAAACTCCAGGAACAAGGGAGATGAAGCTGAGCAAGGAGGATCATGGAGTCTGGCCTGGGGCTGGGGAGGTGGAGCCTTCCTTGCTGGACATTTATATAGAACTTAGAGTCACCTCCCTTCCCTCACACAACCTTCCATCCCTTCGTGTGGCACTCAGGTTCTGTTCTAGGCAAGAGCTTCTTTAATTTCAAATTTCTGTTGTCCTTCTATCCCAGGGCAAGTGTGGGCCAGAAATGGGATGGCCAACATCCTGCCCCTGCCCCCTGCCCAAGTGTGCTGAGTTTTTGAATAGCTTCACAATAGATGGAAGTCTGTTACTCACTGCTGTTTGCTGCTGTTATGTTTCCATTCCTGGTGAAACTGCACCTTTTGAATTTCTGCCTGCACAGCAGTGTTAAAAGCACAAGGGGGGGTGACTGATGGGGAGGAGTGAAGGTGAGGGAGAGGAGCAGCCAAGGTGAGTTGAGTCCTTGATCACCTGATATGATGGGTCACAACCAGTTCCTGCCAGTTGGTCTCTTGGAGCCCTGCCAACCTCACCCTCAATAGGATGCTTGTGAGGATAAGCGAGGCACTTATGTTGCTGTGAGCTCCTTTCAGGAAACCGGAAATGAAAATGCACGCAACAATCTATTTTTTCCCAGGTGGGAGAGCAGAGAGGTGATGAGCAGGTTCTTGGTTCACACCCAGCTACTCTCAGTCATGCCCATGCGCCTCATTCCTTCTCAACACAGCATGCCCATGAGACTGAAAACCAGAAGCTTCATTAAAACAAGGAAGGTTCACAGCTGGGCCAATACACTGAAGAACTCAGCACTGAATTCATCGTGACTTCTGAGCAGACACACCTGTGGTTATTGCTGATGATGATGATGACCATTGATTAGATTTATATCCTGCCCCATTAGGTAGAAAGGTTCTGTTATACACACCAGTTGTACTGGAAACAAGATTGGCACATAGCATCTCGTCTTCCAACAAACCCAAATAAGTTATGATTTATGCCAAAGGATTGTTTTAAATGGCAAAAATATTGATGTGCAAAATAAGGGAATGTGTGCACATCTACTTCGTTTCCGCCTCTATTTAGTTTACAGAATTTAGTTTTTCTGGAGACATCATTCTGTTCTTTAACTTTCTTTTGTATGGTAGAATACTCACAGCCCTGGGAAGTGACTGTGGGGCTGGATATGAAGATAGGAAGTTAAACAGAACTGGAGTGGTTGGAATGGAGGTGAAGTTTCAGGGCAGGGCTGGGAAGAAGCCATGGGCCCTTCTCTGGCAGGCTGGCTTGTGTCCATCAGTTTCTGTGATATCTTCAAGGACACTGCTTTACACGAGCTTTTGCCTGGGCCTGCAAGCTGCTAGACTTGTTGAGGAATCTGGGGAGAAAATTCAGAGCATTTCTCAGCTTGGCCTCCTTATTCTGTTTCATCAGCCTTGGTGGCAAGTTGATCTGATATGTGTTGTATCAGCAGATGGGCTGCAAATTGCCATACAATGCTGTGCACAATTTTGGCCTTACTCTCTGGTTGTTGTGTTTGCTCTTCTGTCTTCCAAACTAGCCTGATATGGAAAAATCAGGCAGGCCCTGTGTGTCTTCCAGTGGCAACCTCACCCATTCAAAGCCTCAGAAACAGCTGCAGTGAAAGGCAGTAGACTTGTTCCGACATCAAGGAGCAAGCCTTGGGTTGGGGTCCACCTGCATTTGGAATGGAAATGCTGTGTGTGTGTGTGTTCGTTCATATCTGCTCCATGGCTCGTGGCTCATGGCTCATGGCTCGTGACTGGGGTGGGGGGGGGGGGGGGTGGGGCAGGTTCATGTACAAGAGACAAAGTGGGGGTGCATAAAATCCATCTTCCTCTCAATGGTCTTTCCTCATGATCACAGCAATAAAGCGTCTGCACTCACCCATGTCTTGGTTGCTTGTTCTGCTCTTTTTAAAAAAGGAAGCCAGGTGCTTGCAGCTCTTTTCCCCTTTTCTTCCTTGATGGGGCTGCTCGGGCTTTGCTTGGCGGTGCAAGACAGACAGCGCACCAGGTATGGCTCTTCCAGCAGAGGGCGCGCCCCACAGCTGTGTGCCAGAGAGAAAGTGGCATCTGGTGGGGCATTTCTCCCAGCTGAACAGATGTGGAAGGCCGTGGGGGTTATGGGTGGACGTCTGGCATTGGGAATGTGTCTCATGGTTAACCTCCAGAGTGGTAGGACGTCTTGGTTAACCACGGAATTCGCCTTGGCAGGGCATCCTCTCAGCCACCCAACTGGACAGCTTTCAAAGGGGATTAGGCAGGCTGGCAGTGGCTAATGGCCATGGGCTATCTCCATGGTCAGAAATGAAAGGTCTGTGCATGCTTATTGCTGGGGAACATGGGTGAGAGGGTACCATTGCACGCCTGCCCTGCTTGTGCTTGGGGCAGGTTGGCTGCAGTGCAAACCGGATGCTGGAGCAGATGGACTCAGCACTAGGGCTCTGCTGCTGTTCTCACAAAATGCGAGCCACAACCTTGTAATGCACCACCAAGTCATCTCTGACTTGTAGTGACAGCATGAATTGAGGGCCCCCACATAGTCCGTGTTTGCCAGCCCTGCTCAGCTCTTCTCCACTCAAGGCTGCAGCTTCCTTGATGGAGTCAATCCATCTCATAGTTGGTCATCCTGTTGCCCTTGACTCTCCTTCAACTTCCCCCAGCACGATCATCTTCTCCAGTGGGTCTTTCTCTCTCTCAGTGTGCCCAAACTATGACAGCCTTAGTTTTACCATTTTTGCTTCTGAGCAACAACCTTGCTACACTGTATTGAAAGTCTAACATAACGTATTAGGTTGGTCAACTTTAGATAAACCTGGGAGATAATTGTGTATGGTTTGCTTTTGGGTAAAGAACTCATCAGTTCACACTCCCTGAATCAATCAGCAAACTGGGAAGGAGCTGTCCTTTAATTCAAGAAATATACATGTTAAAGGGGAAGTGTGTTCCATTTATCTTCTTATGTTTATCTTATGAATTCTTCTCTTTAATCTGGACAGCTTTCAAAGGGGATTAGTGAAATTCCTTGGGATAAAGGTACATGTATGGATGGCTACAGGCTACTCTCAGTGTCAGACGTCAAACAACAGTGATGAGGCAGCGCAAGTAGAAGTGAGCAGTTGCTTGGGGGATACTGTGGAACCCTTGAACTGATCCAGGAGAGCAGTTCCTATGTTCTTTTTGCATTTTGTTTTAGGCCGGCGGGAACCATCCCCTTTTCAAGAGCTGTAATTGCATCTGGGCCAAAAATGATCTCCTCCAAAGAGGAAGCTACCACTGCAGGCTTGGAAGAACTTTCCAAGGTTGCTGAAGGGACTCTGCCTTTTTCGATGCATGGCTAGACAATACCTGCTCTGCCCTAAATAAACACACATATGGAATGAATAGGAAAAATAAAAATGTGTAAAGGATCCGATTTTAACCTAGCAATGAGATCCACAGTGGAAGCCACAAAATCTTCTTGTAGAAAAGTCCTCAGCAGAGGAAAGCATTCGTGTCAATGTTATCACCACACAGAAAATCAACAGAACTAATTTATATAATGGCTGCAACAAAACTGGATCAAGGCAGAAGCAACAGCTGCTCCCACATTCAAGAAACAAGGTGGTTGCTTGTCCTGTCACTGCAAAGGCATCTGGGGAGACTGCATTTTGACCGGCTGGTAACCCCCCCCCCCCCGGATTGGCCTGCTCTCAAACAGAATTTCCTATTGATTTTCAGCCATGAATATCTAGCCATGGGACAAAGCTATACAAATCTGTACTCGGCCTGAACATGCATGGTGTTTGAACTTCTTCCACAGATTATTGTGTACTGTTTTTGCCAGAAGCCTTTGAGTGACAGAAGACACTCAGTTGGGTCATGAAATGGATTCATAATTGGAAGGACAGTCTGTACCAGGTGATGGAGCCCTAGCTGAAACAGCATTCAGGGTTGTGTGTGCTTCTGGAGCACAGGGAGTTACCTGTAGGAGGCCAGGAGGTCAGAGTTCCCTCAGATTTGATGCAAAATGTGCCCTCTGCCAGCTCAGGTTTGAGACTGCTCATCCCTAAGCTATAAACTCTTGGTCTGTGAGCTGGAACACCTGTTGCAGTTGACAAGAAAGGGGCAAACATTGGTAATCAATTAAGGACATTTCAGAGCAAATCCTGTGGACTCTAGAGAACGTCAGAAGGGTCCATGATGTTCTTTGGATTGTCAGACTTCTGGATTGGGATCCTTGCAGCACTGTGTCTGGCACTGAAAGAACAGCAATGGCAGCTTCTTAAGTCAGTAGGAGCATCCTGTGAAAATGGGTGGAGGGTGGTGAGATCCCAGGGATCTGAGATCTCAGGAATGTTGGTGGTGGTGCAGCCTCTTTGGACATCTGGTTGGCTATTTGGCTGTCTTGCTAGACAGGAGAGCAGCAAGGTGGAAACATAAAGCGGGTGTGAATAGTTTGGAGATAATCAGCAGACACATAAGAAGGGGAGTCCTTGGAAAAATAGAGTTTTCTGTAAACTAACAAACAGAACAAAGAATAATAGGGGAATGAATTTATTTTGTATCCAGACATCATGTTTGCGAAAGAGTCCTTGCTTCTGTCAAGGACAAGACATTTTCTATGTCTATTTCTTATCTGCTCGAGATTCACACGGGCTTGCCATGTTCTTACTCCCTGCACATTTGCAACTTTCATGGCGGCTAGAACCAGTTTCCACTGTCCTTTTGATTACTGTATTCAAATGTGTACACCACAGGGTTGCCTTTTGGGTAATTGGAAAAGGTTCAAAAGGAGATTCCATCTCAAAGAAAAAAAACTAAACATCTACTGTTATTCTACTTGGCTCCAGCATCAATTGGATGGTGGGGCAGAGTGGCCACCTGGAGGGTCTACCAATTTTCAGACTCTCCAACAGTTGCAACTTTCAACATACCGGTGAACAGCTCAGGCTCCTGCGCAAGTGTTTGTTACATTGACAGTCTGAACTTGCTGGAGAAGTGCAGACTGGTCCCCACTGGGGAGGACAGAGAAGAGAAAAGAAGAGGGAGAGTAGAACTCACTCTCTCCTCTCAAAAAGCCAGCAGTGCAGCGCAGCGTGGGTATGGGCTTTGGGTTGGGGGGAACTCTGGGGATTCTGCCACCATGCCTGGGGGCAGTGATAGCTTTCATGGCCAGGAGGGCATGAATGGGTGGTTGAATCCTAGCCAAATGGCTGCAGTTTG